TAGTCTATATAATATTATTTCTGTAATTGAATGTTTCATTAATTAAATGTTTCAACAATAAAGTTCTATTAAAAAGGAACCATTTTGAATACATGTATTTCATTGTGATTTTAGACATTGCTGGGAAGCAAAAGATGACTTTTGCTCTGAAACAAACGAACATCGTTACAATGCCAGCCTCGTTCTGCAAAGACGCTTGACGTCTGCTGCTGGCACTGGAAAACTACCACGAAAAGATATCCTTCCTGAAATAGAAGACTGTATTGTAAACACGTGCGGAGGATGTCCGAGTGCTGGTAACAAACGGAAATTATTTCACACTTTAAATATATTGACGTTTACATGTTTTCTTACACCATGTTATTTAGTATGAACGTTTCTAAGAAAAATCTGTATTTTGTGTGTTTCATTTAATCCTTATATATATGCTTTGTTAGCCTTTGTATGTACGTGGTTGTATATCTGCAGGTGCTATATGGAAGCAAAAGGTGATCAAATGTACTGAAATGATTCTACGATATTTAGTGCGGGCAAGCACGCCATTCCAGCCTTTGAAGGATAAGGTTTCTGTATTTAATACAGAAAATCATGAGTCAGCCGTGCATTCACAAGCCTGTCATGACGGCAAAATTTGTGTTGAAAATACACAGATATATTCCCTGTTAAGTAAGTAAGAACTAACAATAAAACTATGCGGCGTTCTTGTTGATTGACAAAACAAATTTAATGTCATAGTTATGATTATTCGATAGATAATTATGTAAAACTTCTTTTCAAGCATTTGCAACTGTAATCGATTTTGGTCTTTGTTGGAGTGTTGAAACATTTATTTGATGATGAATGTGCCTTAAGATCTCTCAATGTGTCATTTTTTACAGCGATTTTGTGTATTCATTTTAGAGTGGTTTCTAAAATTAATACACAAAATAGATATTAAAGAATTAAATCATTTTTCTTCCAGTGCCTGTTATAACAGCAACATACAAACATGACAATGCGGACGAACTGTTGTTTGGTGGAGCAGACAACCCGAGTCCTTTGTTGGAAATTGTTGAACAAGAACTCGCTTGGAGAGCCGAGGGCAACGTTGACGTTTACATTGAAAATGCAAAAGATATAAGTGCTCTTAGAAATGTTATAAAGGTATGTGAAAAAGACTTTATTGTTTTTTTTAAATATACATTATATGGTGGATGCTAAACTTTGCTCTATTGTGAAACAATTCTTGTGAACTCTTTATTCACATTTCAAGATGACTCGGGTGCTACATTTATATGTCAAAATATTAAGACAATTCTTCGATTCAAGAACAGTTATATCAACCTATCCCTACAATTTAGGTCTAAGTGTAGCGAGGGTTGTATTTTATTTCATTGGTTTAAGTAAAACTTTATATTTACCGCGTTAGCTTTTACTATCATTTAAAGCGCTAAATTTAAATTTAGGTAGAACATTTTTCAAACAGGAAATATTTCTACATTCTACATTTACACAAAAACTACAATGAAATTTCAGATATTAATGATGTACAACAAGAAAGTCAATTTTATAACATTTCACCTTGACCCGGCCGCAGACGAAGATGACGTCATCATAACGTTGCAACGTCAAGTTGAACAGTGGTCGGGTTCTGTGTGTCCGGAATGGAGCAGGCTAGTTTCTACACCGTACACTTTTATCACAATACCGCATGAAAGGAAAAGACGCAGCTTGGAAAGAAGTAAAGACAGGAACAAAATGAAACTTGAAATGAGAAATTGGGAGGTTGATTGGATGTTTAAATCATAAGAAAACTTTAAAATGCCAAGTCAGTGACTATTAAGTTTTGTTAATATGTATGCTTTTTATATTTGTAGGTTTTTAAACAATGCAAACAATGATGTTTTGATAATGTAACGTATTGCTTGAAAACGAAAGTTAAATGAGCTTGATTGGGTATTTTAATCATAAAAAACTATTAAATACAAAGTTGACGACTATCGTGTTTTATACACAATCTTTATTTTATGAACTACATGTATAATGTATTATAGAGTACTTTCATATACTAACACGATTCATGCAGGCAATTTCATAGAAAAAATTAAAAATGGATGATTGTTTTACAAACATCATGTGAAATCTAGTATTCAACTCTTGTTACCTTCTGAAAACGTCACGTCGTGTATCGACAATTATGTGCATTCTTAAATCGTTTTAAAATATTATATATAGCGCCCTTCTTTCTTACATGTAAATTAAATGTCTATAGACGCTTTGTTATGTTTATAATACTTTTTTTGCTTTAATTATACATCATAATAGTTTATAAATTCGCGGAATTCTTTTCTGAAATATTTATTTGTCATAAAATCGCATGAAAACTCGTATAAATGTAAAACATCGTTTTCATTATCAGATAGTTAAATACATATTTAAAAGTTCAAATGAATATAAATGATATCCATCGTATTCACTGTTTGATGAATTAAAGCATGCTGTTAAATTACATATTTCAAATATATTAATAATGCTGTTGTGCCGTCAAATTTAATGCAAATTCAGCGCAAAGGCAACTGACTTTAAAAACATGATACCATAAAGATATCAAATATCTCCTAGGGTTAAAGAGCATTTTAGCAGCCCGAGAACTAAAATAACACCCGAGAGACATGTGTTTTTCCCATCTTTTAATTCTTATTTTACCGAACCAACATTTTAATGTTTGCTTTTTTTGTTGTTGTATTTTTTTTCACCGCTCCTAGAGCCTTTCTGATTGCGTCCAGGGGAGAGAACTAGAACAATACGTTTACTTAAGTCGATATAAATTAATAGCCTATGGGGAATATTGCTGAAATATCGAATTATTACCGTGTAATATTAATTTCTGGGAGTTATTTATACTGTTAATGGAAGTGTACCATGTGACTTAGAAAGTTGTACTGTTACAGGTTAACAGTATTTCTAACAGTTTAAAATCTGGTCACATGCTCTATTTCTTAAAGAGAATAAAATAAAATCATCATAAAAATCACCACGGTTATTGTTTGGGGTTATAAAATAAATAACACATACGTTTGTGAGTAACAGTAACAGAAAACACATCCCCCGATAAAAAAAACTGTTACCCTTTGGCTAACGCCTTGGGCAACAGTATTTTTCTCGGGATGATAGTTTTACTGTTACCCACAAACCCATGTGTTATTTATTTAATAACGCCTTTTGACGTCAAATGAGGCTATATACTCAGTAGTAAAACGTTTACGTGAGGTATAATAATTCATTATAATTTCTGGAAAATTGAAGATGACATAAACAACAAATGAGATTGACTTGAGTGCGGATGTCTCAGATGGCGTGAGACTCGAACGGTAAAATTGCTAATAATATTAAAAATTCCGGATACATTAAGGTCCAGAATTCTGAAAATATATAATTTTAGTTTGTTATATCGATCAGCTGTGAACACGGAGAAAAATTAACTTAGAAACATTATCCCTAGTCCCGTCATGTGAAAAACAGTCAGTGGTTCAACGACTTATGAAAAAAAGATTGTCTTCAAATGGCACGAACGGTTCAGGATTGCAACACTTTATTATTTTGTAAAAGAGATTCAGGTCCGACGTAGATTATGACAAACGGTTAACGGTGCAAGGTATTGTAGAGCAACTTACTCTTTTATATTACAAGGTGCAGCGCATCCTTACAGACGTGTTAACTATGGGTATATATTCTTAAATTTTAATGCAAACACAGGTGGTGGTTATGTCGAAAACGTTAACCGGACACTAGACCTTGACATTAAGGTAACGTCGCGTGACTCAACGTTGACGTCGGCGTGCTTCAAGTCTTACATAGTACTGTTTTTCAATGTAAAAATCATCTTATCAATATATAGTTGCAGTTGGAAATACGACACCATGACTGGTACGGGACTGCTGTGGCTGATAGCTATGACAAACTCTTGTTTTTTCTTTCAAAGTCTGCGATATATTGCAAACAACCATTAATACACGGCCATATAACTGGACAGACTTCTTAATCAAGAGTTTATTAATACAGTACAATTTTTTTATCTGATGTAAAAACAAGCTACTGCTTGTTTGTAACGTCACTCTTCATTGCATATACATGATGTCAATTTATATATACAGCTGATGCCAATATGAAATTATTTTTGTTTTTTCATCAGATATATATTGTACAAATGAATTTAGGAAGTTGGGAAGTTATCATTATTCTTCATTTATTATTTATTAGTAAAACGAACATTGCCAAATCATATTAGGCAAAATTGCGTGATCAGTCAGAAAAACAGTCAACAACAAGACGTGATTGCAATGAATATATTTTAATACTTTAAGCCATGCAAAGAGTTAACAAAAAGGAATATAAAAAAAGAAACAAAAATAATTCTACATACAGTACATTCGATGTTTTGATATTTGTACTGCTAAATGTTGAAGGAAACATTTCCATCAATTATATTCAAAGTTTCAAGATGCTTTTAAGTATAGAAATATGTTTCAAAGATCTTTATCAACAGTAAACGGTAAATTGTATATAAATGAATCATAACATCTACAAATGATAAAATATAGCATTATTGCGATAAAATGAACTCCTCTATGTGATTAAATGTGAAAATGTAAATAAAAGGATTGATAATGAAAACAACATGATTGTAAAAGCCATTGAGAGAAATTTCAATATGTGTATATAACAAAAACAATTTTATTAATCAAAAGTCTATTGAACCCCCAAATTGATGATATTGAACCCCCAAATTGATGATATTATAGTGTCCAAACAGTTATATACTGGCTACTTTTGAATTTTGGCAATTAGATAAAGTGACTAAGTATAAAGCATGGGTTACAAAATGCCACTAAAATCACCATTTTGCTACTTTAATGACAACTTATTTCACATTAAGATGATAAGCATTAAACATGCTCTAAATCCATTATTGAAACAGTATAAAACACTTGTTTGCCAATGTTTTTTGGGTTTTTTTAAGAAGAGAAATATCATTTCCAGGGTAAATATGTCTTTAAAATACACTGTAGCAAACCTCTAACATCATGAATTTAAACAAACAATAAGACGATTTAAGCAACGTAATTCTAAACATCTGGATCCGCTACAAAGAGGAAACATACAATTTATGCGTAACATTACAGCTTTAAGCGTCTTTAAAAATGTCATATATGTGTTTTTGTGATATTAATAGCACACAATTTACTAACTTCCTTATTCTGAGATTCAGAGCACAGTTGTGAAAGAGAGTTGCTTTTCATTGAATCTCCAGTCACACATTAGTCTTCATCTTCATGTGTCTTCAACAGCGGCTGACATTCCGGTTCAACGTTTGACTTCACTGACGGACTTTCCAGCTTTGCTTCCATCATTTCATTAGGATTTGATTGCTGCAAATTAACAGGTTTCAATGATGGTTTAGAAGATGTATCTAGCGCTGTTGTAAATGATGTCATCGCAGAAGCATTAATGGTATCGGTATCGTCGAGCAATGTTGAAGCTCCTTCGGTACGTGTTCGATAGGATTCTAGAACTATTGAAGCACTTGTTGAAGGCCGCTCTCCGTCCATCTTAAATGCCTCGGTTATCTCTGAGTTGTTAAGATCCACCCTACAAAACAAGAAAGCAGGCTGAAATACGCTATCACCAAATTTCAAATCAAATCGAGTCTCTCTGACTTTGTAAAAAGCCTAAGAAACCAAAGTATTAATGCCGGAAAATTTTCAGTCATACATTGTACTTGCAAAATACTTAAATCATTGACACAAATGTTCGTTGGTAAAATTGCTTGGGGAATTCGTTCAATTCAAAACTGTATAAAAAACGCAGTTAGTCAAGTGCTTTAGATTATGTTTATTCATGTTAACATTCCAAGAAAATAACTTATGTTAAACTAGAATTTTTTAATATTTACTCTTTACTAACTTTGGTTGACTTACATGCTAGGTATGCTATATGTTTTACACCTTTTCAACAGCTTCCATAACAGGAACGATGCCCCTCCAATAGCCGGTATTGAACTTAATAATATGGCCATAAGTTTTGGTATGTTGATGTTACATTGATGTTCGTTTATCAAATCTTCACAGTCAAACATAACAGCACATGGGTTCCATTGGCATTCATCTGTTTCAGTCTGGCACCACTGACCCTCATATCCAGGATAACACACGCATTGGAAATCTGTAAATGATGTTGATCGTAGTATGTCGTCACATACAACACTCCCCTTTGGACTACAGTGACCATAAACACACGGATTATTAAGGATAAACAATTCAACTGTAACAGATGGTGTAAAAGTGCCATCAGCTAGTTTTGCGATGAATTGAAGACTCATGTTGCCACTGACCTCTGGAGAAAATTTGAAACTAACGTCATATGCCTGTAAGCTTTTATATATCTTTGATGATACATTCTCCAATTCAATTGAAGAGCTGTCTGTATTAACAAGAGCGTATGTTGAATTTCTTAGAGGATTAAAGTTCTCTTTGACTTTGAACTCCTCATCGTTATCAACATCTGCCAATAAAATAGTTCCAACATCAAATGACGTTGATCGATTTGCATCGAGGATAAACGTCTTAATCATGGAAGGCCGAATATCTGAAAAGATTGTACCATTTGAGTCTATGAAGTACCTATCCGTTCTGTCTGGTACTCCTGATATATTTAGGGTTATTATTTTTTCATCGACAAGAGCTTCTTCAAACTCTGGGAGACCAGTCTCAGTAACCTTCACAGTAATAGAATCTTCGCCACTAAAATCTTCGTAAGGTGTACAATTCAAAAATCCGCTTGTATTGTGAATTTCACAAACCATGTTTAATGGGTACTTTGTTATTTCAAACTTGAACGTATCGTTTTCTAAATCGACAGTTTTTATGTGTAGTTCACTGGTAGTATCTTCGTATAATTGCAAATTATCTGTTAATAGAGTTGGTGGGTTATTTGGAAATTTGCGAGATATTTGAGAAAGAGCAAAGGTCCTTGGAGACATGTACATGTATGGTGATCCCTTCTTTATCACGGAAGATGTTTCTGTACTAGCGTTGCATATCTGAAAGTTAAATACGTTTTTGTAAGTTCAAGAATGACAATATGCACATAATTATTATGTAGTATTTAATATGTTTGGTTTGATTCAATTGTAAAAATGTTTATCTAAAATGTTTCTAAAGCAAATGTCATGTGTTTTTTGTTCATGAAGTTAAAATATTTATTCCAGTTCAAGACAGTGTACAACATTACCTCGGAAATATAAATATGAGAAGTAACCACAGCAGTCAAATGATCTCTGCATCCTTCGTCTACATGAACCCACTGCTCCTTGTCTAAAATAAATTGAAAAAGAAAAAATGTATTAACTTTAAAAATCTAGTTTAATAAATATAATTTCTTACAAGCACAAATAACTAGAAATGTGTCCAAAGGACACGGGTGCCCCACACCACACATTTTTTGTCAACTACAAACTCTAGGTTAAATATATTAAAGGCTACATGTGACATAAATTTGACATTGCAATTATTTTATTAAGTCAAGGGCAAAAACTCTAATAAATACTGAAATAATCCATAAGCAATTCACCAGGTGCATAACTACACATGGTGACCAACATTCCTGTAAACATTCAGACTCAAGGTAAAATACTATTTGAGATACGCACAAACAAGTTAAAAATTGCAAATTAAAAATAAGTCAAGGGCAATTACTTTAACAAAACTGAAAGAATTCACATGTAAAAATCAACGAGCACAGCCTCACATGTTGATCACATTTCTGTTACAGTAAAGTTTCATGATTCTAGGTGGAATAATTTTGAGGTACGCTCCACACAAGTTGAAAATTGCAAATTTTTTATAGTCAGTCAACATAGTCAAGAAAAATAACTCTACAAATACTGAATAAATCCACAATGAAACCCCAAGATGTACAACTACACATGCTGGCCAACATTTCTGTTTATGACTCGAGGTCAACGAGCGACACAAGTTGAAAATTGCAAAATTTTACTAAGTCAAGGGCAATTTTTCTACAAATACATAATCAATCCACATGAAACCCGATGTGCACAATTTCAAATGCTGAGCAACAGTCCTGCAAAGTTTCATGACTCTAGTTAGTTAACTCAACTTAGTCAGCAAAACATTCTATCAAATATTAAATAAATCTACAAGTAAACCCAAGGTGTATAACTTCACGTGCTGAATATCATTCATTTATAGTTACATGATTCTAGGTCAAATTGTTCTTAGCTAAGCACAATACAAATTGAAAACTGTCAATTTTAACTGAATCAAGGGCAATAACTCTGACAAAACTTTCTGATCCACATGCAAAACCCGAGGTGTAGAACTAGACATGATTATCGACATTTCTGTAAATTTTCTTGACTCTAAGCTCAAGCACATTAAGAGCTACATGCGTTGAGAACGTACATTCTAACATTTTGGTTTAATGTGACTATTCTATTGTTCTTAAAACATAAAACACCAAAGAAGGCCACATAAAACTAAGGAATGATTAGGATCTAAGACAATTTACTGTGACCTATTGTTCCCATCGCCACATAAACCCAAAATGCTTGCCAGGACGGACGGCCGGACTGACTGATATATAGACGCAGGACGGACGGGCAAGAGTTAACATGGATTTCACCACTATATTGGGGCCAAAAAAGACAAACATAAAAATAAAGATTCCAAGAAACAAATGCAATAGTGCAATATCTTTTATATCTTTTATAAATAACAAGAGCGCCCACAGGGCATTGGATCGCTCACCTGAAAAATAGGTCAAAAGGTCAAAGTGGAGCCCCTTTTCAACACAGAAGCACTATTTGAAAACAAGGGACACCTTAATCTTAACAATATTTGTAAACTGTCACCAAGGAATTTTTTTTTAAATTACTTCAAAATTGAACCAGTGGTTCAAATATTTTTTTAGATGTTGTTGTTTTTTTAATTTTATCTCTAGCAGTCATTTTAAACAGTTCAGTCTGTCACTAAGTGAGAGGTGAGAAAAGAAAAACAAACATTTGATATGGCTGGGGATTGAACTGTCGACCTCGAAACTATGGGACCGAGCAAATTTTGACCCTAGGGCTTTTATTGTAATTATTATTATATTATTATATACCAAACTTCTTAAGCACTCTTTTCATGCACATTAATACGTTCAGTGTAACCAAATAAATGATACAATATTTAAAAACAAATTAAAACATCAGTATTTCTCAGTCACAAATTCAATTCAAATGTAGTTTAAAAGTTAAAGAAAAAAGACCCACATAAAAAATAAAATACAAGTAAGACTTAAGAATTTGTTAAAAAGCGCCATTGGTAAAAAAAAATCAGTCCAAATAAAACCTCTTAAACAAGTTAGTTTTAAGTGCTCTCTCAAACACTGGTAGAGTTTCACAACTTTTAAGTGTTCTAGGTAGGGTATTCCAGAGTTTAGGGGCTGCCGTTACAAACGACGGATCACCATGAGTCACAGTAGGTGTATTTGAACAAACTTGGTAGATATCCACTAGAAGATGTATCATGCCAAATATCTATGCTCTAGCTCTTTTGGGTTTTCGCAGGAAGGTTTTTTTTGTTTTCATTATATACACATAAGGAAAATCAATGACCCCTGGGGCTTGGTCAATTTTGACCCTAAGGCATTTGTTTGAACAAACTTGGTAGACATCCACTAGAAAATGTTTCATGCCAATTATCTAATATATAGTGTTTTTGATTGTCACAAGGTTTTGGATTGTTTTTACTATATACATATAAGGAAAATTAATGACGCCCTGGGGCGGGATTAATCTTGACCTTAGGGATTTATTTGAAGAAACTTGGTAGACATCCACTAGAAAATGTTTTATGCCAAATATCTAAGCTCTGCCTCTTTTGGATTTTTACAAGAAGTTTTTACTATATATATATTGGGGCGGGTAAATTTTGACCCTGCCACTTTTTTTGAACAAATTTGGTAGACATCCACTAGAAAATGTTTCATGTCAAATATCTTAGCTCTAGCTGAGATATTTTCGATATTTCACAAGAAGATATTTTTTTTGTAAAAGAAAATCTGTTGCCATAGCAACCAGATTTCTTTATGAAATTTATTCTTTGAAAAACTTTGGTAGAGCTTTATGCAAGAAACATCCCTGCAAAGTTTCAACAAATTTGGCCTAGTGGTTCAGGAGGAGAAGTTCTTTAAAGAAATTGTTGATGCAAACACAGACGGACGGACGGTTGCACGGACGATAGAGACGGACAATGGGCCATCACAAACGCCATTGACATTGTCCTCAGGTAAGCTAAAAATAGTAGTTTTTTAATAATAGTTACCGCTATTCCAGAACATTAATGCAGGTTGGTTATCCGGATCTTTCTCACATCCATCGGGTACGGTTATATTTATCCTTATATTCTCGTATTCAGCCACTGGAGACGGCGATACAAAGAATGTCGTATTACATAACTTTTTAATCCTGGAAAACCAAAACTGTAAATAAATACTGTTGTAACGTTTTTTTTTTTTGCTTTTTTTTTTTAAATATATAAAACTGTTTTACAAGTAAATGCTTGTGCAGATTAACACAATAATAGATCCAAATGGAAGTCTTAAAAGCGTCCAACGCGGAAAGATGGGGGCAATATTAAAGGTTTGGCTTGTCTGAGTCAGTTTATTGACATTTCTGTAAGTTTTAGAAAAGAAATGTTGATGTTTATACGTTACAATGATCAGGATTTACAACTTTACAATACTATGTAAGCAGATAGGTTTTATTTGTTTGCATTAGATAAAACAGTACTTAATTATTGCGTACATATTTTTCCGTCCCCTGGTCGATGTATATGTACTGTAAACACATCATAATCTTGTACCATTCTATATTTTGTTTCAAGTGTGTTAAATCAGGAGAACAAACATAAAAGATGTCACCCTTGATACCTGTTTCTTAGAAGTCTAGTCGTTTTATCAAGTGAAATTTCCGGATCCTTAATGAAAGGTTTGTAGTCCACAGTAGCAGCACTTCCATAGTCGTCGGATAGATCTTCTTTTGTTAAAGTCCCTAAACTTAAACCACCAGTTATCACTGTTGATACATATACATCAAAACATATATGCCATGTTCATTTAAAACATTTCATACATTTTCAAATTAACATGAACTTTTTAACTATAAGTCTTATATAGAAAACAATTTTTCATTAAAATAAATGTTAAATTTAAATAATCTTTGTCTTATAATCATTTTCATTTGTAATGAAACGACTTCTTTTTCTTTTATATTAGCATCATGTCGATTTTAAATTTTAAAATAACGGCACCTTTAGCAATTACTGTTTTTTATTCTTCGAAAGGTCTTGTTAAACAATAACTGTAAAGCTACTTGACAAGTTGGTCAGTGACATTCCATTTAATAAAATGTTACGGTATTTTTTTTATCAGAAATGCATATAATATTTTGTGATCAAACAGTATTACATTACTTACGACTGGCTTCAATAGCAATTTGTGGTAAAGGTACTACACTAGCACTCCATTTATCTGATGATTTTAGTTTTGAAGCCATAACTTTCGTCTGCGTCCCGTTTAAGTATATGTCATTTAAACCTCAAATAAGCAAAATTAACTTTTGTATTTGTAACAAACACATTGTATAATGAGCTCTGACAATAAACATTAGTTAAAATTAGTTTATTTGTAAATTGACATATAATTTGCTCAACTTTATATGTCTGCCTTTTCAATAACTCATCAATGTTTAAGGGTTTCTTAAAAAAACAAGTCCGTGAAACAATTAATTTCTTGTATTGCATGCATATATGTGAACCATTTTGTCCTTTTCTTACATAAAATTTATATAAATACACATAATTTGGAAAAGTTTTCAATAATAAAATAACATCAATTAACAAGAGGGCCATGATGGCCCTGAGGTCGCTCACCTGTATATAGGCCGCCCCAACCCCCGGGGCTTTTATTTGCACAAACTTGGTAGACACCCATAAGAAAATGTTTCATGCTAAACATCTAAGCTCTAGCTCATTGGGCTATTTCAAAGAAGATTTTTTTAAAGTTTTTACTATACACATATAGTTAAAAACAATGACACGCCTGGGGCCGGGCCAGTTATGACCCAGGGTTTTTATTTGAACAAACTTTGTAGACACTTACTAGAATATGTTTCATGCTTAATATCTAAACTCTAGCTATTTGGGTTTTTTTCAAAGAAGATTTTAAGTTTTTGCTATACACATATAAGGAAAATCAATGACCCCGGGGCGGGGCCAATTTTGACCCCAGGTCTTTTATTTGAACAAACTTTGTAGACACTCACTAAAAGATGTTTCATGCTTAATATCTTAACTCTAGCTATTTGGGTTTTTTCAAAAAAGATTTTTTAAGTTTTTGCTATACACATATAAGGAAAATCAATGACCCCCGGGGCGGGGCCAATTTTGACCCCAGGGCTTTTATTTGAACAAACTTGGTAGACACCTATTAGAACATGTTTGATGCTCAATATCTTAACCATAGCTCTTTGAGTTCTTTAAAAGAAGATTTTTAAGTTTTTACTATATGCATATATAGGGAAAAATCAATGACCCCCCCGGGCGGGGTCAATTTTGACCCCAGGGCTTTTCTTTGAACAAACTTGATAGACACCTATTAGAACATGTTTGATGCTCAATATCTTAGCCATAGCTCTTTGAGTTCTTTAAAAGAAGATTTTTTAAGTTTTCACTATATGCATATAGGGAAAATCAATGACCCCCTGGGGCGGGGCCAATTTTGACCCCAGGGCTTTTCTTTGAACAAACTTGATAGACACCTATTAGAACATGTTTGATGCTCAATATCTTAGCCATAGCTCTTTGAGTTCTTTAAAAGAAGATTTTTTAAGTTTTCACTATATGCATATAGGGAAAATCAATGACCCCCCGGGGCGGGGATAATTTTGACCCCAGGGCTTTTATTTGAACAAACTTGGTAGACACTCACTAGAAAATGTTTCATGCCAAATATCTAAGCTCTAGCTCTTATGGTTTTTTAAAAGAAGATATTTAAAGTTTTTTCTTTCGGTTGCCATGGCAACCAGAGTTCTGCATGGAATTAAATTCTTTGAACAATTTTTAAAGGTGACCACCAAAGGAACATTCCTGTGAAGTTTGGATGAAATTGGCCTTGTGGTTTATGAGGAGATGTCATTTAAAGTAAAAGTTTACGGACGACGGACGACGGACGGACGACGGACGGACGACGGACGGACGACGGACGAAAAGCGATCACAAAAGCTCACCCTGTCACTTTGTGACAGGTGAGCTAAAAAAAATCAATGACACTTACGTTTTACACAAACAGTGTTTCCCTGTATTTTACTTTTCAAGTGAGAATATCCAATAGCATAAAGGGACTGATGTACACAGCGACCTGGTTCCATGTTAAAGAAAGCCTTTTCCTTCTCATCTGTTTCGGTAATGTTTTGCATTTCTTCTAATGTCATACCTGTAACGTTTCTAAACTCCATTACCGACCTATTTATTGCTTTCCTGTCAAACTCAATCTTTCCATGAACAATAGCTGATGATCCCGTTTTATTCTGACCAACTTTCACTGGTGGAAAAACGTCCTGTCCGTCTTTAGATGTTCCAATTTGCCATTCTGTCAGAAGTTGATAAAATGAATTAATCTACGTATATTAGTTAATAGTGTTTTGATAGAAATAGACACTGGAAAATAAATCACATTTACATTAAGAGGCGAGCTGTGGTTATTCATAAAATTTTCCGCTACCAATACCTCTCGTCAACCTTATTCGCTATGTTGACAGTTTAACTTTAAATCAGTTTTCGTTGCACTCAATAGATAAACAGATATATAAATTTTATTAACAATAGGTTAATAGGAAGGAAAGATACTTCGAGGGCAATGAAAACGCAAGAATGCCAAGCAATGGATGCACCCCAAACTTACCAACACAATTGTCAATAATTTCGAGTATCAACAGTAAATAAATGCAGTCAGAAGCAAACGTTAGTAAAGGTTTGAGCATGGAAATTTTATAAAATATTGAGCCACTTTTTCGAAAATTTCATATGCACAGAACTGAATACAATTTATGACAAGGGCTTGATCGGAACGATTCTTTTTACCCGTTTCCTTAATGTTATAGTCAAAATATTTTTGTTATCTCTTGTTTTTTTTCTCGGGCGCTTTGTACCGTAAATTTTCTTTCGTGAAGATGTCTCGGCTTTATTTTCAAGACAGTTATAGAAAATTGGTAATATTCATAGCAAACTAAAGAGATTCTGCTCTTTAATTCATTTTTAAACACTTTTATATGGTTTTGATAAAGTGGGTACTCATATACATCTTTTCTGTACTTATTTTAACCGCATTATAACAGGCTGAACACCGGTTATATATTTACATGTATCTAGTACATAATAGCTTGACAAACACACGATCCTTCATGTCTAATAGTCATTTTTTAAATGACCATTTGTATTAGCTTATCTTTTGATGGTATTGAACTATGGTTACAGAGATATGTATGGTCCTCGAATATAAGTATAACAAGACATACCATAGTTTTAAATAAAAAAGCTATTGAAAAAAAATGTAAAAAGTTATAACGAAGTCAGAACTATTACTAAATAAGGAATTGTTAGGTACGAAAATGCTTTCAACTAAACACCTTAATTCCACACAGACATTTATCACCTAATATTATCCTGACGATTTTAGAAATGAGCTCAGTAACTTTATTATTCATGTTTCATGAAAGTGATAAGTACTTAACTTGACCAAACGGATTGGTAACATTTCAAATAAGAAAACATACCTATATAAAATGAAAAGTTTTATTTACAAAATCTAAACATCCCACCAATTTTTACAAAACCACAATTGTCCAGTCACTTAAAAAGAAAACAGATCAACACTTTAAAGTTTTGCATCTAATGTAAAATGCTTAGAAAAAAGCGCAATGGCTTAACACTGTTTATTTATCGTACTTACCATAATATTCTACTTCCGAATCACCTCCTTGCCACTCTATTCCTATTTCTGTTTGTGTAGTCGTCCAATATGGTGTATCTTCATCTGCAGAAACATATGAAACATTGGTGTACAGTGGGGCAGTTGTGGCACCAGATGTATCCGGTGGAAATAAACTGACTTGAACTTTACAGCTTTTCGTTATTGATAAACCGGCAGTATTGATCGTTGTCACTTCTACTACATAGTTTTTACCATCCCTAAAAGTGCCATTTTGTAACCTGAACGCCTTCTTTGTTTTCAAGCCTACTGAGGTACTATTCATTACAGTTTCATTATTAGAAGAATCAAAGACTCGTACAATGTAAGATTCAATCTGACTTATATCTTCGGAACAGTTCCAGTATGCACCGATTGTTGAACTTGATCCCAGATATTGTGTTGGTTCATCTTTGCTATAATCAGGATCTATACATTTTACATAGTCACATTCCGGTGGCGTAATATCTATCTGGACGGCATTGGAATACGCAAATGATTCTAAACCAGCGTAATTCACGAGCTTCACGTTCAAATAAAACGCTGTGCTGTTACACTCTAAATCACTAGTAACATTGTTACATGGATCATCAATACTACTAGACTTCATATCTAAACCTTCTAAGTCAAGAGAAATAAGTCCAAACCCATCATGAAGATTTTTGTGTGAACAAGGCTGTTTACAAAGAGTCTGACATAATCCTTGACAAGGGTAGCAATATTGTGTATACAGTGATAGAGGGAGCACATTACCGAATTCAAATTTACTGTCAGACACTCCAAGCCATATCTCCTTTACACTACTTTCTCCGTCATAAAACCCCCGGCCATGACGACACAGTTTAGCCATTTCATCTGGTATATCAATCTCGCGAATCACAGCGTGGCTGTAAAACGGGTTATAAATATCTGATATTGGTGGTTTGTATCCGTTTTCGTTCCAAATCAGTGTTGCTATTTTCATGTCACCAAAGAATTTGAAACCAGCTATATTGATTGTTTCCTCACCATCAATAATCAAAGTAAGATCTACAGTTGTCTCTAAATATTCTGATTTACTGTCTACTAGGATTGTCACCCTATGAAAGTCAGCTGCGTAATCAAAAGGAACGCTGAACCATCTTAATATGCTTGTGAACTTATTTCTAGCCCAAAACACATGATGCCAGTGTTTATTGTTTGCAATTTTATATCCTAGAAAATGCACTCCAAAGCCATATTCATCGGTGTCAAAGTTAGTGTCCGTACTAGATGTATCATTATCAGATGGTATAAAAGAGACAAGGTTTCTTGTAGTTGTGCTTGGTGTTGTTAATATGTTTGTGACCATAGCATTACTTTCAGGAACTTCGAGGCCCGTCATATTGTCAAATACACTTTCATCGAATTCATTTTCAACAGGCTTATCTTTAATTAAAAACGGAACTGCAACATTATCTGTAATGAAAGCAACGGTTGTCACAATATTTTCTCCTCTCGCAATAAGAGCCGTGAGACTATAATTACCTCTTTTTAATGTAAGTGGTTCAGAAACGATACTTGATTTTGTTATTTCACTCAAATCTGCGTTATAACCAATCCCTAAAAACGCTCCGGAACGGTTTACAATTACAAAATCTGTACTAAAATCGTCAGAAAATCCCTGAAATTTCATTTCATGAGCCACTGGGAAAAAATGCTTTTGTGAAGAACAATCGTAATCAACAAAAGTCGATGCAATCGCCATTAAGCCATGTAACTCTGAAGTTGAATTTTGGAAGGTATCCAAAGAGTGCCAATTCTTTGCAATTTTCACACTACCCATTAACGGGGCGCTTGTATCTACTAAAATAGACTTACTTAAAACATTTGTTAACAATTTTGCGCCATTTGTTAAAGTCAAGTTAATAAGGTATTCCTTCTGTGAACTTAATTCTAGCTGATAGAAAGCAGTCTTGTTATCATTTTCTACCGTTGTCTCAGCTATGGGGATACAATTTGAACTAGATTTCTGCTCAATACCGCATTTCTTGCATTCAAGAAGAGAAACCTTTGCTTTTACAATTCCAGATTCTTTATCATTAAAATCATGCCACTGTACCATCATTTCAGAATCAGAATCAGCAAATAGTACAGTTTCACTGCGTATATTATTGATAGAAAGGAAACCAATTTGTGGTGGAGATGTGTCTACGAGAATTTCTTCACTTGTTATACCAAAACACATTCCAGCTTCATCCTTTGCGATGATGGTAACAAAATATTTATCTCCATGTTTGAGTGTTAGGCCCGTTACCTTCTTATACTCATCTACGGCGACTGTTGATAAAGCTAATATGTCATAATCAGTTGAATTAAGATAAAACATAGAACACTTAAGGGTATCGTTTGTTATAACATTACCATGGCTACTTATTCCAATCATATAGTCAATAATATCAATATCTGATCTAAATCCTGTCCAAGATACCTCAACAGATGTCGTGGACGACTGATATTTATGAATAGACATTGTACCTGCGTTTATATCGTCATTAAAACCAACTCGTATACCGTTTGAATAACCTTCTGTATAGCTCCCTGCCATACTGTATGCTCGAACTGTGATGTAATATTTTATTAATTTTGAAGTTAGATTTAGGCCCTTAAAGGTAAATGAAGTATTAAGTCCGACATTGACAAAGAAATGAATATTTGATCTCGTTTGTTCATAACGTCTGTCATTACCGACAGAAACATCGTAATGGTGAATTGCTTGTGTAGGGTCTTTCGAACCATCACCAAAATTATCCCAATTTGCAGAAAGTTCTGATGTACTGTATTGATAATTCAAATCCTCTAAAAGACCATCTCGTACTAACCCGGGAACTGGTGGCTGAATTCGAACAGAGACACCGTCTGAACGTGCAATTTTTGTTCGACCTAAAAAGTCAACAGTTTTTATTGTAACAATATATTTCATTCCGTTTTCTAATGCTACCTCATCGTTATAGAATATCTTAGCCGCAGATGGAATAGATTGAAAGGCAAAAAGTACTTTTCCAGTCAGATCAGCCGCAGACCACATCGCTTCTTTGATAGGACAGAGATCTGAATATTTCCATTTTCCTTGGAGAAGATTAGGCACGGACTGGTAATCTATGTCGTCATCCTCAGCGCCATCGGTTACTGAAAGTACCGGCGACTGGCTTATGACAACACTGTCTGATGTCACTTCCGTTTTCAATCCGGCGTGATTGTATAGTCTCAAAGTCGCATAGAATATTGCCCCCTCGTCTAAAGTAAAACCGTCCACAAATATTATTCCGTTTTCTCCTAACTGGACTGGAGTGTAGTCAAGGACGTCTGTAGCATATGGAGCAAAACCGATAGACACTTCATACCTGTATCATTACCATACATATACATATTAGAAAACTGTACTGAAGTTCATACCACAATAATGAAAAGCTTTAGACTATGTTTAGACTCAAAATTACTAACACTTTCTTAAAGACTCAATATGCTTCAAGAATGATATTTTTTAATTTCTCATTAGCTTTTATTTTCGGTTTCCTGTTTCCAAAAAGATATTCATTGGCCGATTACATGAACATCTTTTGCTTCTGTTTCCTGGCAATTAATACAATTGTTATATATAGTGATAAAGTATTTTGTATTGAAGTCAAAACACTACTTTCTTTTCAATTAACTACTATGACAAAAACTACTTCCAGTGCTTCTTTCCTTCAGTGATAAGCATCTAGTATGCCCTGAAAGTAGTATTGAAATGTTTTAATATCATGTTTGCTTTCTATAAAAAAACAACAAATTTATGGTTTTCGAGACATTATGTGGCTTTAATTACATGCACTTATAAACTTATAAAATGCAAAATAGGTTTAAATGTATTTACCTATCATGATCAATGCCAGATTCATCATCGGTAATATCATATGGACGGAGTTCAACAAAAGCACGTGGAAGCTGGCATTTTTGATTCTCTGATACGTTTTGAGCCCCGATATTTGTGACAACTGCTAGGTGAGCTACTTTCGGAATGGTTCGGTCGACGACAACTTCCCTGCCATACACTGTTGTGTGTCCTACCACATTTTTGACATTCAAATTTACAAAAATTGTTGTCAAATTATCTTTTAAATTTATAAAATCACTTAAATCTCGAGTAAACAATCTTAAAAAATTAGGTACAACATAACTCTTTAACACATCAGTTGACGTACTGTTTGATCCCAATGAAAAAATAATTTTGTCAATCAGACTTTCATATTCCTCAACTGCTTCCCATGTGCAAATTAAAATACTTTTTCGCACCGAAACATACTTAGTGCAGTCAAAACCCCTTATCAAAGGTGCTGTTGTATCCGCTATTATAGCCAATGATGACGTTACGTTAGTATTACCGGCCATATCAGAAGCATTTGTTGTTATGAAAGTTGCCTCTCCAGGTGAAAGCGTAACTACACTATTTACTTTAGAATAATCACGGGTGAATGGATGCCGGTCATCTAGGAGGGGCAATGATCCTAAAGCCCACTCTACCGAAGATACCGAATGTGTGTCTGAAACATTGGTGAAAACCGGAAGTGTGTCTGTGGCATCTTGGTACATGATATTATCAACATAAACAAATTGAGTATCATTAGAGTCTTCAATATCATACATAACCTCTGGTGGAATTCTATCGAGTGTGATGCCATCAGAAGATGACAATATATATTCATCTTGGCATCCCGTTATAGCTCGTACTGTAATGAAATAATTTGTGTCTTCAAACAATTCGACATGAATCTGACACTGACCGTGAGTTTCATTTAGCATAACAAGTCCATAGTTTGTATATGTCTTAATGTCCGTTCCATATTCAGTTGTACCTATTGCCCAGTCATAGCTTAGAATATTACAACCTTCACTTTCAAAACCATAGAATGATGCAGAAATTGATGTAAAATCTGTCGTGTACATTTCGTCTTCGTAAAGATTTCTACCATCAAATACAATACCGGCGACATTAGCCTTCTGTACAAAGATTGGCTTCGACTTTCCAACGGTTGAATAAAGTCCTGCTCCGTTTTCAGCTTTCACAAATACAACATATTTAATGCCCGATTCTTTAAAAGTTTGAAAATATATAAATTGAATGTAAGCAGTAACATCAACACCGTAATCAGTGAAATTTAAAACACTTTTCTTGTCAGATTCAGTTGTTCCTATGGCAACTTGGTAACTTTTAATACCGCTTTCAGAGTCTCTACCTGACCAACTAACACGTATACCATTCTGATCATTATGTAATACATTTCCGTCATCATCTAGTTCCTCGTCGTCTGTCCAAAGTCCAATGTGAACCTTGAAAATATAATAAAGATTGTCATCTAAAGTAAAATATTCCATCGGAATGTAGCTTTGAATTATGAAATTTGAATACTTAATTACTAATTAATGAACTGTCAAATAGCAGAAAGTAGAGTAGAGCAGGAATGGAAGTAAAGAGGATATCCCCTGAGAGCTGTCCAAAAGGAAAATGTTAAAAGCCGATGAGTAATTCTATAGAAATTGTGTAAGAGAGAAACAAATGAGCATCACTCCGCTTATAGCACCGTTGTAAGCGATATTCAATTTTAACTCTAAACGTTTAAAATCAACGATCTTGAAGTACAAAAAAATAGAACAACATTATACGGTTTGATTCTCATCGTGATTAGTCTGTATATGAAGGTTTAAGACAGAAAACTAAAGCAGATTATTAAACAATAAACTAGAAAATATATTATATGCTTTTCTTATCTTAGAAGTTAGTTTCTGTGAAGATTCAATTTTTTGATAGTCCTGACCAAGAACACAGTAGATAATCATCCCAGGTCGCAACGTGTAAATGTGTAAAACATCGTAAATAAAGTAACATGCTAACTATACACCTCTTGGTTGTGAACCTTAATCTGAAACTCTTATTTATTTTAGTCCGCGATTGTTGAAATAGATTTTCACATAAATTTTTACTTGAAAGACAGTAAAGGGACATTACGTTGTGACTAACCATTGAATCATATCATGTTGCTTATGTACACATATTCTTTAGAACTAAATCTCATATGACGTATTAAAGAATTCGATTCAGTGGTAGCTAATAAAAGTCTAGACATAACTGTCATAACTGTAAAATCACTAAAGGGGAATACTTTCTGAAATCCATAAGCCGGCTTAAGCTAGCTGCTTATTTGTGCCCCTGCTCTTAAAAAGAGATTCTATGAGGTTTTGGTATATAATAGATATCCCGCACAGAAGTTATCGCTGAAAAAAATCACATAAAGGCACACGTTTGAAAGAACATGTAACGGAAATCATGTTGGTCTTGGAAGTAAAGTCTCCAATGACGTTTTAATGACTTCAATCCTTGGCTGTTAAGACAAAGGCATAGTCGACACAAACATATAGCTGAAAAAAAGAAAGAAATTTAATGTGCATAACTGTATGAAACTCATGTTGTAGGTATGAACCTCTCCTCCTGGTAGTGAAGCTTTGTTGAATATCCAAGTCAGTGGCTAAAAAACAGTCCAAACAAAATTATCATATACACGAAAACAACATACAACCACTATATGCCACCCTATGGGGAAAATAAAAAATAAAGCATTCAAGATAATTAACCATGGCGATATGAAAACATAAATACAGGCCCGCGTTTGTTGATATTTGCGTTTGCCTATAGACAGGTTATTCATAGAGGAGTCATTGTCATACCAATTCGCAAAATTGACATGAGCCAAATTTTTATTTATTTAATTTCAAGAATGTTATTAGTACTAATATATGTTAACAATTAAGTAAAAAATGAAAACAAGGAGAACGTTTTAACGAACACTTCCGTTTTAAGTGTATTTGGGTCATAAGAAAAGGCAATCATTCTTGAAAAAAACCACATGAATAAACCAACTCCGGCTCAAAACCAATAACATATCATTTTCCAAGTGCAGAGATTTGCATTCACACTCTCAGACAAATTTGTAAACGTCCAGTCTATATTGTTTGATTCTGCTAAAAATCAGCAATGCTCAAGTTTGAAAATTTGCATGTGTAATTTCAATGTCATTTTAAAGTATCCTACATGAAAACATCGTGTTTTTACAGCGAAGTTTATTGTAGCGGAACGTAAGTCCTATTTATAGATATTAACACGTGCATTTCATGCATAAATGGTAGTTACTTTTCTTCAATGTAAAATTGATCCATGTACAGGTCCTAACTTAAAAATCATACAATATGACTAGGATGAATGTTCAAGACCGTGAACAGGCCATTGGTATGCTAAAAGCTGGTTCATCTATCCGACAGTTACGTCACTTCATGTATAAAGAACCCAGTTTAGCGCATTTGATCGGTATTGGATCAATATGAAACATAATAACTTACAATAAATACAACTTTAATTACCCCGAAGGAAGGCAAATATTTTTCTAACTGTCCCTCTGTCCGTCGATCAGTCCGAAAACCTTAACATTGACCCTATATTACTTATTAAACATTGGATTCCCTCCTCCATTAATAGCTGTTGATGTTAAAAATTACATTTTGTTGCTCAAGTATTGATTATACCATTTACGCTCTTCTTTCATGAATTTTAAAAAAGTATTTCACTTCTATGGTTTCAGATTGCCCGTATTTTCAACCGAGCACATTCCACTATTCGACAGCTTTGGTTAAAAAGTTCAAGTTAACTGGTATTGTGGCTGATATACAACGCCGTCCGAAGAGAAAAGTAACAACACAGCAACAAGATCTTTTCATTGTTCTCTCAGTCACTGACGGGACCGTTTCATGCCGGCAACAAAAACAGCGGGGCAAACACTTGGCATACATAATCGTCCTATTCATCCTCAGAAAGTAAGAAATCGTCTTAAAGCTGGTTTACGAGCGCGTCGCCCAAGGAAAGTCCCAACTCTTACTGTAAGACATAGGCAGGCTACATTGGCTTGGGTAAGACGACATTTGAGGTTCACAAGAGCTGACTGGACCAACGTCTTGTTCGTTGATGAGACCAGAATTACACTTCGCGGAACTAATGGACGTGATCGTGTGTATAGGCGACGGGGTGAGCGAAACACTGCGCATGCTTTTTTAGGCTGATCAGTTCAGAGGTGGCTCTATAATGATGTGGGCTGGTGTATCTATGCACACGAACTCTTATCATCCCGATTCAATGCAATCTAAATGCAAGGAGATATCAAACAGACATCATCCAGCCAATTCTTATTCCTCATGTTCGCGCGAATCGTGGAATAATTTTAGCCAAGTGTAATGCACTCTGTCACGTCGCTAGAGGTACCATGGCTATGTTTGCTACCAATAATGTAAGGACTCTCCAATGGGCTGCAAGAAGTCCGGATTTAAATCCTATCCAAAATATTCGGGATCTTCTAAAGAGACGAGTTAGAGCCCGGCAACAACAGATAAATATTGCCGACCTAACGAGGGATGTTTTCCAGGTATGGGCTGCAATTCCCCAGCAGTATCTTCAAAGATACATTATATCCATGAGGTCAAGGTGTCGTGCCGTTATTGCCGCTGCGGGAGGACACACAACCTATTGAATGTCAAGACAATGCTATTTTTCGCTCTCAGGGGCGTTTAATTTCTTTAAATATCTCTGATTAAAACATTATATTATGTCTGATGAAATTTTCATTTGATATTTGGAATAAATTCTATCATTTCATGGAATAAAAAAAATAAAGCCTGATCTCATTTGTTTTGCTTAAATTCTGTAGAATATTATGTGGACGTTTAGGAATGCTCATGTTTTCTTTGGTACAAGTATGAATCAAATCCACAAATATTTAACAATAATAAGTAATGTCGATTTAAGACATTTTCAAGGTAAAGTCAAGGTAGTCAAATGAGAATAATTCATATGTCGGTTTTGTTGGTCAAATTAAGAATTTATAAAGCTATAAAGTTCAAGCAAATCACAATAGTAAAGGCTTGAGTTTGACACCTAAACCCAAATTAATGAATTTTGCTACAATTGGCTTAAACTTTGATATTCATTTATTGATTTGATTAAAGCTTGGACAAAAGAACCGTTATGTCTAATATGACTCTGACATTTGTTTGACGTTGACCGTCAAAGTCAATTATTGAAATGTGCTTCTTTTTTATTCACAGATTTAATTTATACTTGGAAAAAAGAAGACATATGACAAAACTGACATCTGATTTGACTTTAAACTTGACTGACCTTGACCGTCAATGTCAAGTTATTAAAGTATGCCTAAATTGACAAAATTGTGTTAATTACGAACGGATTGGAAATTTGTTTAAATTCTCATCATTTTATTGTCTACTTGTGGATTAGATTCATTAATATTATTACAAAGTTATAGCCAATTATAGCACAAAAAACCCTATACTATAATGTGATCTAAAAGGTCAAGTTTATTTATATGTCAATGTCAAAGTAGGTTTGATCTTTTTAAGACATTGACCGGAAGGTAAAGTTAAAGTCAATTATTGCAAAAATCAAGCAAAATTAAAACATTTGACATTGAAGGTCAATGTCATTTGTGAGTAAAAAACCAAGTTCAGCCTGGTCAAGGTCATGTCAAAATGGTTGTTGTGTCTTCGTATAAAAACAACCCTTTCAGAAACATTAAAAATTGGGCAAAGTTTCTCGACGACAACAGCAAGTAGCTCAGAAAAGAATCGAAAAAGTCGAGCTAAAATTTAAACCATTTAAGATACATGCATAAATTTATTAATTACTTTTGGTTTCTGTGGTGGAGTTGTATCAACTGTTACTCCATTAGTCTCGTGCGACGAAGATAAAAGTGCCCTATTAAGTGCTGTCACATGCAATGAATATAAAGCACCATCTTTCAATGATAACCCATCAAGAGAAGAAGATATTTTCGTGTAGAAAGGCGTAACGGGGGAAGAAATATTGAAATGACTGTCTTTTGGCCAGAATTTTTGCTTAACGCCATATCTTGTTTCATAAATGATAACTCTGTATTCTTTAATGCCTGACTCTGTATCTTCAAATTCATACATCACATCCATTCTTTCATTGTTTCTTTGGTACGCCGCGGCGTCATCATTGTCGGACATTCCTACAATATAAAGCATGTTTTAATGAGTATATAACTACAGTAACAAAATCTAATACTGCTTAGTCTGATTCATCTGTATGGTTTACAATTAAAGCAATTTTACTAACTCTTAAATAGAGATCATTTGATCTTCAGGGACATGAATAAGCTATTTTTACTGTATCAGAATTATCTTGATGCCATAATTTCTGTATCAACCATAATAAAAAATAGACCTTTAAGAATTGGCGTTGTTAAATCAACTAAAAAACCATTGCTTTCTGACGCATTTTCAAGATCAGCACCGTTGATGCCATGGACAGTAAATTTAACTGTGTCCTGATGTTCCATCGATATTGTATGATCTTCAAATTCTGTTGCCCTTCCAGCGTCAAAAGTTCCTCTTATCTCGTTATTTATGATAACATCAACCCTGTAGTGATCAATACCGCTTTCAGGGTCATAATAACCGTTCCAGTTTACAAACTTAGAAACAGTTTCTGAACTAAAATTGAGCTCATTTTCATTAACTTTGCCGTCTTTTACTTGGCCAGCTAACGGATGTGTCACGTCTACAAGAACTGTAAACAGATATTTAGCAAAGTGACTGTTTTCTATATTAAACCACATATACATTTCATTTCACGAAAATATTAATTATAATATATAATCATATTATCTATTTAACAATGGTTTTCTCTCAATCATTTAAACTTAGTCCTAGTTTTATTAATACGCTAATTGAAAGATATTCTAACACAAATTAAATTTTGCATTAACAATTTGTAACTACCTCCATCAGATGAACTATTAGCTGACTTTGAATTCAAAGCATTATTGTAAGCAAACACAGTAGAGTAGTACGTCCTGTTATGCGCTAAATGTGCAGCCTTGCATGCTGATTTTTCGTATCTTGTCAGATTATGGAACTTTACAATATTGTCGTCGCCAGGTTTGGTACCAACACCCCATTGGAACCTATATTTTTTATTATGAAACGTAAATGAAATAGATGTAACCTATCACTAAAGGTCATAATTACTCCTACCAGCAACCTTAACATTTTTAAAAATTAGTAGTCTGAAAAAAATGACCTCCTCCTATTATAATTTATGAAGTTTTAATTGTGTACAAAGAATTATTTCAATTAATTGCAAGCCAGGGTCTTCACATAAACTTGCTTTATATTAAATGTAATTATAATATCTCATTCGTAACTGTAGTTTTTGTCCGAAAACCATTTTTCTATTTTAGTAACAGTGAACCTTGACCCTAGAGGGTCCAAATCCAATCCAACCCGGCTTTCCTCATAATGTTGCTAAATGCCAAGTTTGATTACAATAACTCATTTCTAACTAATGCTACAATCCGGAAATCATTTTTCCATTCATAGTAACGGTGCCCTAGATCCCATAGGGTCCAAAAGCAAACCCAATTCGGGTCTTCATTTAAGCTTGCTATATACCATATCTCATTCCTAACGCTAGTTTTTATCCGAAAAACATGTTTATATTTGGTAATATTGACAATGACTGCTGGTGGTCCAAATGCAATCCCAATTTGGGTCTTCATAAAATGTTGCTTTATACAAAGTTACAATATGTACTATCTCATTCCTAACTGAAGTTATTGTCCAGAAACCATTTTTCTAATTTTAGTAAAGGCGACCTTGACGTTGACTCCAGGTTGTCCAAAAGCAATCCAAACTGGGGTTTTCACAAAAGCTTGCTAAATATAAAGTTTGAAAACAATATCTCATTCTTATCTTTTGTTCGGAAACCGTTTTTGTGGGTCGAAATGAAATCCCAACTGGGGTCTTCACATCAGCTAGCTTTATACCAAGTTTAAGTACATTATCTCATTTCAAACTATAGTTCTTGTACGGAAACCATTTTTCCGTAATTGCTAACAATGACATTGACCTTGACTGAGGGGTCCGTAAACAATATTGTTTAAAGATGAGTGAAACTTTACCCTTCATTTGCCGGTCGGCATTAATTGATAAATGTTTAGAAAGCAATCATGATCCATTTGTGATTTATACATGTAAGTTCAAAATGACAAAATTGTTTTGGTTTTTATGTTTTCGCCTTGGCATTATGAACAAAATGACCTAGCAATAAAATTTGGCAGTGGAAAAAAAACGTTGACCTACTTCTCGCTTACATTTCTTTTTAAATATTGATCAGTTCTTACTTGAGCTCATCAAAATCTTCAATAAAAATGTTCATCAAGACAATTCCGTTATGTCTATTACCGTTAAATAACCCTGAAACTTGCATTTTCATAAAACAATGAATGGACAATTTTTGCTATACTAGTATTTTTTTTATTTACCTTGCTTTATGAATAAAACAAAATTCAGGACTAAATTTTCATATTGAGATACTGATGAACTTCACAAAAAACTTCACTTCTCAGTCAATGTGTCTGCATTTGAAAAGAGAATAAGTCAATGGAGGTGCCTGTTCATAAGGACTCTTGGTTGCACTCGTGTTATTTTACCTTTGGTGATAATTCTACTTGATAGTCATTTACATTTTAAAAATACTGCTAGAATTTATTCTTTAGAGTTGATGATGTACATTAGGCATTTTACATTTATCATATTGCTCAATCACCTGTGTAATCCTGACTCTGGATCAAAGAAGTCAAGCCATTGAGCACATATCTTTTCGTCGTCGGCTTGAAAAGCCCGGTCGTTACGAAGACGGTCTCCATCTAGAACATTACCAGCTATTGGTGGAGATTTGTCTATCATTATTGGTTCGTCCCCGTGTCCAGCCGTGAACAGTTCAACTAAAATTATATGTATTCTAGAGCAGACGTAAATCTAAATTACACTTACCTATAGCAAAGATAATACAAGCCTTATAACTTAATATTTAAATATACATAAAAGTCCACAAAATTATTTTAGCAATTTATAATAATTCCATTTATCTATTGCTATTATGAAATAATGAATAATAAAAAAGATGCAACATGAATATTATGGAATATACCATTATTTGTTACTCTTATACGAATCCATGCTGGTATTCCCTCTTGTAAACCAAGCTCTTCCACGGCTACAAATGGATCGTCCCTGTCAATTGAGGCATGAAGAGTGTATGGTTTTAACTTAACGTCATATTTTGTTTGACCGAGACCGAATTCGGCGTCGGATATTTTAGAAAGCTCGTCTGTGGCGTTATAGTAAATGGCAATAAGGTCAAAATCCTCGTCGTAAATTATATCTGTTACACCGTTAAAAACAGGAGGAGTTGTATCGACAATGAATGGAATAGAATGACACACAGTAGTAACAAGTGATCCTCCTAACTCCGCACCATTTAAAGCTTGTACTGTTACGTAGTATGGACCATCTTTCAGATGAACCCCTTTGTGAAACCCAGAATCTGTCCAAAATTTCTTGCTTGTTAAATGTTCATAAGGATCATTATATTTGACAACATCTGCGCCGCAAACATTTCTACCGATAGCCCATGTAAATCCCAACAACCCACTTTCGTCATCGTGGAAACCTTTCCAGTTGGCTGTATAAACAAACATATTAAATACATTTATTTAATTTGACGTATGATCTCAATTTGTTGCCCGGTTCATTTCACAATCTTAAACACAAACTTTTCAAATCAAAGTTAATCATAAAGATATTTGTATTTAAAATAAAGATCCATGATTATGCAATAATCTTCCACATTATTATCTTTAAATGAAGTCTTTTTTATGTTTTATCTCTATCACAATAAGAAATTGTCAGTCAAATTATCAATATGCAAATATTTCATTCTTCAAACTTACCAGACACATAATGGTTAGTCAGAGTGTAAAGTTCGTCAGACAAAGGCTTGTGTCCATTAAAAACTGTACCCGAGCCTTTACCATCTATAATTATTCTAGAAATATATAATTAAACAGTTATTTACTTTGTATGCGCTGTAATGAAAATGACCTAAGTGAAAACTAAAAAACAATCATATTTTTTTAAATAAAATGCCAATATCACATCATGTTATCCTTTACAAAAACTAAAAATCATTTCTTCAAAGAATGTCATTAAATGCATTTTACCTATGGTTATTTTTCCAAGTGACATCGATACAATGCTGTGTTACAGCTGCGTTACATTTATCAGCCCGTAAAATATCTTGGCGTGCATTCTTAATTGTACCAGGTTCAGGTGGAGTAAAATCTACCATTGTTCCTTCGCCTACCAAATATGCATCATATCCTAGAACGTTGCTAACTTTTGTGTTTACAAAGTACGTTGAACCATGTGACAGCGGCAAACCTGAGTATTCTACTGGAGAATGATATCCACTGCCAAGTCGTTCGTAGTTACTGTATGTACCGCTTATGCGTAGGTAAGCATTAGCACCTTGAACAACATCATGTAAGTCACATGTCTCCGAGTGATGCTCATAGTCAAAGGACACGCACTTCGAACCAAAGCTAATGCATTTTTGAGCACAAGTCTCTGCATCAGGTGAATTCTGTGACGTAAGAATCCAGGCAACTAACTTTCCTTCTCTAGGAATTGTGAAATGTTTTAATGGACCAGTAGCTCCACTTCGTATTTTAGAATGATCAAGTCGTAGCACCTGCCAATCCACAAATTGAGACCCAAATTGTCCGGGACTAAAACCTACAGCTTTGTAGTGTGTTTCTACCAATGGACTGTCTTCAAAGGCTACGACTGACGCTATGATTTTGTTCGGATGACTTGAAAACTTGTAAGGATGTTCCACCCTCCCGTCTGGAGGAGTGCTGTCATATGTGTTTAGGTAACATTGACTTATCGATGACAAACCTTGACTATTTTGTGCCTTGACTGACCAGTATAAAGGTATACCTCCAGGAAGTTTTGACGGTACCATAAGAGAGTTTCCTCCCATATCCGTCCAATCAACGACGTTTGTTCCACCGCGATGTGTTCCAATCGCATAGAATAATTTTACCTCACTGACCTCATCTTGTGCGTGCATTTCTATTCTAAAAGCTGGATCGTAGTACGGTCTTCCGAAAACTTGTTGTACTATACATCCCCTAGTCCCGGATCTTTTTCGCCCTTCATTCATAGTATTAGGTAACACCATGGGCGGAGAAGGGTCGTCGTCTCGTTTCTTCTTGTGGAAAATATTTTTGCGGATTGATGGAACAGCATATTCCCAAAGCAAACCTTCATACAAGGTTATCCATTTTAACAAAACATTAAGCTCTACAAATGCTTTCAGCTGAAGACGAAGGGGTGTAAACACCATGTCCATCTTTACCCTGTAATGCACATGAAAATAGGATAACTGGTTCTTAAAATGAATATAGAAAATAAAAAATTTACCGTATTGGATACCCTAAAGATAAAAGTTTGTCATGGCTTTCAATTTACTAAACCAAATTCATTTTAAATATAAACAACATGTTTAATTTCTTCTTCATATTCAAACAACGTCAAAAGCTCAATTCCAAAGTCTCTTTTTGAAGTATTGATTATTAATTATTGAATGCCCTGCTAATGGAACTACTTTCAAACAGACTGTTACTAAAGGTTATTGGTATTTCATACCTTTTACTTTAAGTTTAAAAAAAAATCATACCCGACATCAATGGGATATTTTGAGAAGACAAGTTCTGTTGTTATCGGGAATTTGGTTTCCATTATATATCCAATTAAACGTATTCCGCCCCTTGCAATCAATATGTCAACAGCTACGTCGCCCCATACTTTACCACCTACCCATGGTGTCAAAGTCAACTGTTTAAAATTAAAATTCAATCATGATAATAAATATTTTTCATTTATGATGCTTTGTTTTCATATATGGTTATCAATTATTTTCAAGATTTAGGATTTTCTGAATAAAAGATATAACATGAGCACCGCAAAGGCAAGGCAATATTCGTAAGCCAAAATGTAACTTTTGTCTGAGTAATAAAAAATGTCTTTCAATAAGGGTAGAGACCTACTCAAGACACTTGTCTGAATTATCTTTTAATTATCCTTATGACACTACTTGACCATGAAGTTGAAACATTTTTACCCAAAATGTATGATTCAAAAAAAGTAAATTTTTACTGAGTTCTACTAGACAATGCTATAAACCAATATAGAGACATTGTTTTTATCCGCAAAAAGATGTATTTTCCGACATAGAGGTTAACATGAGGCAAGTGATTTACGGGGCAGGGCCAAAGTTGACTTGAGGGTCATGATTAATATAACAATTGTAGAACTCTACAAATTGATGCTTCATGCCAAATATTTAAATTCTGGGCTATGTGCACAATAAGACTTAAATGCGTTTTTCTAATGGTCATGATTAATATAACAATTGTAGAACTCAACAAATTCATGCTTCATGCCAAATATCTAAGTTCTGGGCTTCGTTCAGAAGAAGACCTAAATGTGTTTTGTACACAGATATTCACAAAGTAATGTTACATGCAAAATATCTTAGCTCTTGGAATTGTAGTTTAACATAATAAGATTTAAATGTGTTTTCTCATACAATACTATATCAACTCAGTGAGCCCAGGACCGGGTCAACATTGTTCCAAGGGGCAAGATTAATACTTTTTTTGTCAGGACCAACAAGGCAATGCTACATGTCAAATATCTAAACTCAATGCAAAGTATTTTCACCAAAATATATCTAAACTCAATGCAAAGTATTTTCACCAAAATAAGACTTAAACGTGAATTCCTACACAAAAATATATTAACTGAGTAACCCTCGGACCAATATTGACCCTTGGGGCATGAATAATACCACTTTTGTTGTTCACAAAGTGATGTTACATGCCAAATACAGAAGCTCTGGACAACGTTGTTTTACCTTATTAAGTTTCAGATGTCTTTTTCCTGTGTAAGTCTATATAAATGAAGTAACCCCGGTAAGGGGCCAATATTGAACCAAGGGGAATAACCTTGTACATGTAAACAAAGCAACGATAAATGCTAAAGATCAAAGCTTTAGAGATTGTAGAAAATGAAACGTGAATGTGTTTTCCTATATAAATCTATATAAATCAGGTAATCCCCCTGGCGGAGTCCATTTTGATCGCATGGAGAATGAACTTGTGTTCTGCACATCATCGTATTATAAGTTATATTTCTGCCAAAAACGTTTTAATTACTTTCTATGGTTCAAAAGATACAAAAAGGGACAAAAATGTTGAAATTGATACAAAATGTCTAAGTGTGACTTTGACCTTGACCTAAGAAAGGTCAAACATTTAATCTTCATATCGTCTTATTATGGTAAACATTTCTTCCAGGTAATTTCAATTTCCTTCCACCGTTTCAAAAGAAACAAACAGGACACGAAATTTGCTCATAGACGGACGGACTACCAGGTGCATAACATGATACGCCAAAAAAAATCGGGCGTATAAAAGATATGAAAAATAATTATTGAAAATTATTAAAATCTAACATTCCGGCATTTACGCTACGAGTTTTGAATGCCTTACATTTTTTATCATTGAATTTACGGTTTAATGTAACGGATACTGATTTAAATCATTAGCAATATAGTTCAATCAAATGCAACATAAACTTAAACGATAACAAAAAAAATCATTAGAGGAGAATACCCCTGTATCGGTCATTCTCACTACAGGAGAATTATCATGTAGATACAACAAACTGTATCTCTAAGCCGATCACGTGACTATAAAGTGGGTAAACAAACACACGACTGCTGTTATTGGCGTCCGCGCCGAAGCGCGGCGCCTTTTATGGAATGAATTCAGATTTTGTGAAAGGGCGACAGCAACTTCTCGAGCCTTTTAGGTCGGTCATAATAAAAGCCGATCACTCCGATTGGTATGATTATTAATTAAGAATCAAATGTCGCGATATGTTACAATGAATAGCGAACTGGAGAATTTCGCAATGCAAACATTTTCAAATGAAATAACCTTTTCCGTCAATAAATCGCGCTCTTGGGGTTTTTTTATTTATCATTTTGTAGTACACAGTGGGTTATCATGGTATATTATTGTTGTACATGTATCCTAAAATGATCAGTTGATGACCTAAATATTCCGAAAATCTATTTATAAATATATATATTTATCACTCCTATCGGTAACTCTCGGTCTATTTTGACCGGGATTTACTAGTGACCGGCGAGTGGTACCACACGTTTATTGTCTTTGGAGTAAATGTTTGATATCGTTACAATTCGAAAAAAAAACCAACAACAACAACAATAGCATGTTTCATTTTATCTATATGAGATAGAAACAATAAATATGTACAATAATTGAGAAAAAGGTACATTTTTATAGTATTAATATGACATTATCAACTTTGAAACATTTTATTTAATTTGTTATTCGTGTTTAGTAAAGATGCCGAGGAATTATTCAAAGTTACAAATTAGATTTTTTGAATTATTCTATTGATAGATAATTTAAAAAATGATAAAGAAAATACAAATGTACATGTACATGTACATGGTTTAAGAATAAACAATATTATATATTGAAAGATTAACCATAATTTACTGACTTTTTCCAGTTAAGTTTTGACTTATAATCGTCGGTCAATTCTTAAAATTTATTTTACAATTTTAATAAAAAAAGAGAAGTAAACATAAAAACTCAGTATTAAAATAGCACATAAAACACAAAAAAGAAAAGACAACAATATTCATAAAATTTGTTGTTGTTTTTTTATTAAAATTAATAGATATTACAATTATTGTATAATAAACAATTATGATCAACATGGTAATATAACCAGTGTCATATTTTTACTAAGTGTGAACAAAAACCTTAAGAGGGGGTCTTCGCTAATAGCGATAACATAATAAGGGACAATTACACAAGTGTGGTACGTGTTGATCATGCGTTACACATATGGATTATAAATAATTGTATACATGTATATCCGTTGCTATTAATAGCCACGATCATAAAGAAATAACAAGTAATATTCTAATCTCTAGCATGCCAATCAAAGTTCATAATGAACAATGTCTTTCGTCCGGTCATTCATAAGTGATATACAATACTGGTAGTTTATTAGAATATCTTGTCATCATATATCTACTAGTTCATCTTCACTTGCTGCATTTCTTGCTTGGACGCCCTTTGATGCTTTGCATCAATGCTTTTCTTGTAAATACTATTATGTACTTTATAATTAGAGACTGAAGTAATATAGACATATTGACCACATTAATGACTGATAAAGCCATGAATAAGATAACAAAAAAATCTATGTCCACGTCTTATATGAAAAATATGACAAGATACGCAAGACATATAGAAATCATGTACAAACAGGTTTAATGATAAACCCTTTTGTGTTTATTTATATGAAATAGATTAACAAATTATTTAAACCAATGCTTATATTTAAAAAAATAAAATGCAAAGACTATTTTAAACCTACTAAGTATGTATGCAGGGATATAGATTAACAGATATATGAGATGGATAAGAAAATAATGATTTTGGTTGGACTGCAAAAGAGAAAACAAGCTTAATCGACAGAAAAAAACTTTCTGACAAGGGAAGCTGACATTACTTTATACATTTGATTATCAACATAACTTCCAGAAATTGTTTTCTAAATTCATTTATCATATTTTTGAGAGAAAAAACATATACAGTTTACAGTTTATCAGAACCGTCCATATTTGCGCCGATAAGCACTGTGATTCTGTCCTTGCTTTGTTTGCCTCCAAAACATTTTGTTCCTTTTACCTCTAGTGTTTTATTTGGGTTCATTTTATAAAAACGCCAGTTTCATCGATATTGTAGACATTTTTTGGTTCATAGTCCTTGATCAAACTTGGAAGTTTTGACTGCATCCAATTTTCAGTTTGTGAATTATCGACGGAAGCATCTTCACCGGATAATGTTTTGCTCGATATGCCATGACGATTTTTGAATCTTTCAATAAATCCGTTTGTTGCCTGAAAATTTTCCATGCCCAGCTCACATGCCAGAGAATTAGCCTTTCGTGTAAGCATAGGTCCATCAATAGGCACATTTTGGGATCGTACAGTCTTAAACCACTCAAACAGCGCCATTTCAATGTCTCTATTACTGGCATGACGCATTCGTTTACGGGCTGGGCTGAACGACGTAGTCTCGTATGCATTGATGACAGAATCTTTATTTTTCCAGATTGAACTTAATGTGTTTTGTTTAATTCCAAAATCGTTTGCAATGTCCTGTTTTTTACGTTTACCAAGATTAATCTCTTGAATTAATTTATATTTAGTTTCAATATCCAAAATTTTTCTTTTTCGTTTTTCTGACATGTTCACTGTTTTAGCTACATGTACATGTATAACTTATTTACAACGAAAATTGTTATTGAAAGGAAACAATAAAAGGACAAAACCATGCTTTTATTTTTTGAGATGAATTCACCTGTATTGAGAACAAAACGGTAGTTACGTACGCACAGAACATGTTCCGCGTCATTGTATTTAATCGAGCAGATATTTATGCATTAAAACAAGCGGACCGAGACCGCTCTTCCACAACAAACTTGTGCAGCAAATTATCGTTTTAAGAGGTAATATATGTGCGTTGGGGTTGAAAATCCACATCGATATATCCGAAATATCGATACATGCGATATCGATATATGCGAGGATGCTTCCGTTAGGTTATAATGGAATTTGGCAGGAACCAAGACAAACGTATCGATATAACCGATATATCATTACAAGCGATATCGATACAGTTGGAGTTTACTGTATAATATGCAATATTCAAATGTTCTCATATAAATAAGTTCGAGAAAAATTAAATTGGTCCATGTTATAAACATTTTGGCAAGGGTTAATATTAAATCTGAAGACCATTAATTTTTATTCATTAATCCAAGTTTCAATTTCATAGGTGATGCTGTGTTTATGTCATTACTTTTAGGACAACTATTTTCAATGCCCCCACAATATGCGATGGTATATTGTTTTTGCAGCGTCCGCTTCCGTCCGCCCTACTGTCTTTCCGTCCGAACATTGTCTTATCCATAACATTTATGGATGGAATTAAAAAAGAATATGTTTAAATGTGTGACACATTGGAGCAATGTGTCATGTGCAAAATCTCGGTCTGAAACTCAAAGATCAAGGTTCAAAAGAGTAGTTTCTTAATAATGCGTAAACGGTCAGTAATTCTGCTATTTGTGGATAGGACGGAGAATATCAATGCACAAATAGGTTGGACAAAAAGACGATCTGCAGGGCACAAGAATAAACGCTGGTCAGTTGGGATGTTTACCTACTAGAGGTCACGTGACTCCGTTCGTCGGTACAGTGTATATGTACAGGCCTATCTTTAAATATACTACAAAATTGCTTGAAACACGACAGTTGTTACCTGTGCTGTCATACTGACTATACAATATCCAACTTTAACACCTAGGCCAACACTTCCGCCGGCACCAAATCCTAAAATTAAATATTTTGTTAATATGTTATTATTGTCGCTAATAGCACCTCACATGGTACAGATTCATAGAAACGCTCGATCCAATACAGTCGTATTATTTGATACAGAAGCATTGGATAAATATGGCGTTTAGATATTTATTCGTGCATTGTTATCGGTAAGTGTAATACCGATTGTTTCTTTATTCTTACCGTTTTCCTGGAAAGATGAAATGAACACGAGCAAAGCATGTACACTTTCAGCTCCATAAACGTATACAGTGTACTTGATACAAGCAAAGAAACTGAAGGTTTTAATTACGTTTTTATACTACTAAAATCAACTGTTTACACATTTTTATTATCTATAGCAGAGATGTAGATAACATGTTATCGATGTCTCTGTCTATACAGTCCAGTCGAACAATGACTATTTCTGATCACGCTCTTTTAAAAAAAACAAATCTTTTGACTTCTTCGAATTGTAGTTGGCAGACGAACATACTTTTTTGTTGTATCAACAAATATACATGTATATACGTTTTCGCGTATTGTTCAGTCGATTGACAATAGTAATATTAGCTTTGCAATTAAACCCTTTCCAACTTTCTCTGACGTTATAATCTGAGTTTTGGTGTCTTTATATCACTCATGTGACAATAATTGCAATTTAAATGATTATTTACTCGTTAAATATTTGTATTTCTTTCCACCGTTGTGAGATGATAAAAAACTTTAACAAGCAATATTGAATACTGTGTAATCATGTAAGCTGATTGCTGAATTTTCTTTAAGCATCCTTTAAAATTTCCACCAAGATGTAAACTTAAGACCTAAAATACAGTTGTAATAAAAATGCATGTACCTAACGAGAAACCAACAGGTCCAGCCATGAACAGTTGGTGATAACGGAAGAATGTTATGTCAAACGGTGGCACAGGAATATTTGCACTTATACAAAAATCTACTTTATCTTGAAACTCTTTCGATATTTTGCCAAGTTGTTCTGCAGGGTCTTTCATAAGCTGAAATTCAAAGCCAACAATAAGAGATGCACCAGATAACACACATCAGTTGTAAATAGCAAAACAAAATAAACAAAATATAACAAAGTGTGGAAAGCAAAATATTGTTGTCCAATTTTATGGCTTGTCAAATCAAATGTTTACTTCTCGTGGCTTTAAATCAAAACATGTGTTTCTTTAAAATGTTTACTTCTTTTGGCGTTTAATCAAAACATTAGTAACAGTTCCTTTAAAATGTTTGCTTCTCATGACTTTAAATCAAAACATGTGTTTCTTCAAAATGTTTACTTCTCATGTCATTTACTCAAAACGTGTGTTCCTTTAAAATATTTCCTTCTCGTGGCTTTTAATCAAAACATGAGTTCCTGTAAAATGTTTACTACACATGGTGTTAAATCTATACGTGCGTTTCTATAAAATGTTTGGTTTTCATGGCTTTAAATCAAAACATTTGTTCCTTTAAAATATTTGCTTTTCATGGCTTAACCATGTGTTCCTTTGAAATGTCTGCTTCCATTACCTCTTTGACAACCGTATCTCTTACATCTTCTAAAACTTTTGTAACTTTCCGATCTAAAAGCATATATTCCCCAAGCTGTGCCATGAAGTTGGATATTGGCATTTCAAGAATTCGTGCCTTTAAGCTATTATTTATTGAACCAGAATTGGTCGCTGAAAGACAAACACAGATTATATAGTTTGTAATGGGGTTTCCCGCTAAAGCGTTTTTTATATGTGAATACATACAAACAAAGTATCATTGTATAAATCAAAGTACTCAAAGCATAACTTTCCTCAGTGCTGGATAGAATAGAAATAAGGCATGCTATTAGAAAAGTGCTTGGTTGACTTACCTTGATTCTCAACAAATATTTCAAGTTCAAAGCAAATACTAATGTTAATGAGAAAAAAACACGCACAATTTACATGTATTTATAAAATCGAAAATAATAAACCAAAACTGACTATCTGCCCCTTCGAAATGTATTTCAAATTTAAAAGTGAACAAGTACGCCGAGTATCAATTTAATATATATAATAGTTTTTGAGAAATATACCTAACTAAAGATACTCACTAAGAATATAAGTGGGTCGAAATAAATCAATAAGTTATAAGATAACTTGCCTTGTAAAAATACATTCCAGTTAAAAATGAAGAAGTTGTTTAAGTTTCAAGTGATTAAATTTGAGAAATTTAACATTTAATTATATAAAATAATGAAGTATAAAATGGACATTACCTTGCAAAAATGAGGAATAACTTTGCAAATTAGGTTTAAGGATTAACTGGCCTTCATAAATGTTATTTAAAAAGTTAACATTTATACATGTATTAAGTCTGATGTGAAAACTTTGTTACTTTCTTATAAATTGGACCTTAATCTGAATATACTGTAATTGAAAACGGCTGCGTCATTCACATGATAATTAGTGTACTCTTCACAAGTAAATCAATACTAAGCATCTGTTCCATCACACACATTTTAAGTGTTCACGTACATCAATTGGTCCGTTTTATGAAATTAAATAGTCGATTACATAACGTTAAAACACAGATTTATTACTAAAAAACATTAACAATATTTACCATGATAATCAATATAAAATTATTGCTACGGGAAGCCACTAGAAGTCAATGGTTACTATGGAAAGTCAGTGTTTGCAACAGAGGTCTATGATTGCTATGAAAAGTCAGTTGCTGCAATGAAAGCCCCTGATTGCTAAAGAAAGTATCTGGTTGCAAAGGAAAGTCAATTCTCTCTAAAGAAGTATGTGGTTGTGATGGAAATGAACTGTCAATGGTTGCAATGCGAGTCAGTGGTTTATATGGGAAGTCAATTATTGCTATGGAAGTCAATGGTTGCTTTGGAAAGTCACTGGTTACTATGGAAGTCAGTGGTTGCTATGGATAATCTCTGGTTGCATGAAAATTTATGGTTGCTATAGAAAATCAATGGTTGCTATGGGAATTAGGTTGCTATGAAAAGTCACTGGTTACTATGGAAATCTGTGGTTGTTATGGAAAGTAGATAATTGCTATGGGAGTCAACATTTGCCATGAAAAGTCAATGGTGCAATGGAAAGTCAATTGTTGCTAATGGAGTCATTTGTTGCTATGAGAAGCCGCTATTATCTATGGAAGTCAATAGTTTTTATGGAAAGTCAGTGTCTATAGGTCTATGGTTGCTATGAAAAATTAATGGCTGCCATGAAAGCCCCTGATTGCTATGAAAGTAGCTGGTTGCGAAAGAAAGTCACTGATTGCTATGGAAAGTCAATGGTTTCTTATAAAGTCTGTGTTTTTTATGGAAAGTAAAAAGTTGATATGCACGTCAATGTTAACAATTGAAAGTCACTGTTTGCTATGGTAGTCAATGATTGCTATGGAAAGTCACTTGCTTCTATGGATATTAATAGTTGCTATGGAAAGTCAATGGTTGCTATGGGAATGGATTTCTATGGAAACTCTTACTCAGGTGAGCTAAAAAAGTATATAACTATTAACAGGACACCCTTCTTACCAGAAATTTATGCAGGACCCCACTGGGTACAATAAATGCATATCTCATTTCTTTGGTAAATACATGTTTTGATATTGGGGTTAATGTTGCTATTCATTTTTATCTTTTTGAATACTAACTTATTCACAATAGAATTTATTCATTCATTCTCTTAAGTATCTACACAATAAACCTCTAGCTAATAAGCACTTATCTGCTATGCTTTAATAGTTTATATTGTTACGCGAGGTAATTGAATTGTATTTAATAATGTTTTAATCAATGTCTTAGTAGGAAAATACAAAAATAGTTCATTTTTTCTTTATAATTATTCTATCGTGACCTTTATCACATAAGATATTACCTAGTATTTATTCTTTAAACATCATTTTTCTGCACTATAATACTTGACTACTGTCTTTCTTGCATTGCTGATATACTTCTTTATAAGTTGGCAAACAGAAAATAAAACTGTTGATTCTATAACCGGAATATCCCATCTTTTTATCAATAACAAGAGAACTTCAAATATTTTAATGAAAAAAAGGAAATATACCTGAAACGGTACACTTACATCGCTTTCTTTTGCAAGATGTTCCTAAATCAAACTTGATCTCATGGAAAAGGTCGATTGGTGACAAGCATGTGGCGAAGAGACCAGTGCACAGCTTGACTTCAGCATTCATTGAAACAACGCCTTTCTTTAATTCAGAGTTCATTTCCAGAAATATTTCCATGCCAAAAAGTGTTAGGCCCGTTTTGATTTCCTCGTCTAATGCTGTTATAAAAAAAAAACATATGAATTCGATGGCAAAAGAATATATATATATCATTGTTAAAGTTTGATAGTCAAAGTGAATAAACACTTAAGGTGTATCTTATTATTGTACATATTCTGTAAATAAAGTCAATATTGAAGCATAATTTACATCCTTTCATGGGGGAAGATGTTTAAATCTATCGATATTGTTATTGTCATGTAACGACTTCAAGATTTATTGTAGTGGAAGGACTTTCTTTTAGGTAGCAGGGCCCTCGTTTAATATTCATATAAAAATAACAGTCGCACTGACGTTAACTTAACAATAACGTTTCCAAATCATATTTCTCTTATTTGGCAGATTTCCCTTTTATTAATATAAGATATCTTTTCTACAAAAGCAATGTTTTGTAAGTTGTGAACTGAATTATTTACCATATCATTCATTTTACAATTGCACTGTTTTCTTCATTTTAATACTTTATCAAACAGCTTAAAATATCTCTAAATGTTCTTTAATACCTTTACAATATAAGTATTAATAGCACTTACCTTTTGCTTTGAATTCAAATGATTTATTGTTGATTTTAAATACTAGTTTGGAATTACTAGGCTTAATATCCAAACTAAATTTAAGGTGCTTAGTTTCGGCGCCAAAAGGGACAGGTACACTGCACGTGATACCTAAACAACACTCGTGTACAGTACAAACATGGCCAAAACCAGCAGCAATTCTACCTTTAATCATCGGGCAAACTGTAACAAAAGTAAATGAGTCACAAACCACGAAGGGTTTTCTGGTTTATTCTGAAAAGGTTTTTGAATTTTGTTTAATTCGTCTTTCTCTTGAAACCTATTTGGTGATGTACATAAAAACATTAAATTTGTTGAAAACGTAAGTAGATATAGAAAAAACGATTGAATAGTAAGACTTATAAAGAAAAGGGTTTCAGTGATTTAAACTTGATAAAAAAGTCTTTGCTAGTTCAAATTTTGAAACTTTTATAACCAAATCAAGTGTTTTGTTACCTTTACCAGCTGTTTCCATCAAACTATCAGCGACGTTGCTTATATCTCCGCCATTTCCAGGAATAGTAATCCCTTGCAAATTTATAAAATTCTTCATAAAAGAAAGGGACATAGTTGCTGGATTCCCGACCGGAATAGCAATCATCGAACTTGCCATTTTGCCAACTAAATTGTTGAAGTTATCGTAGAGTTGCTTCCCTTGTGCCAGATTGTTTAATACCCAGCTTACAGTCTTATTATTTACATTAATCATGTCCAAGATGTTTGGAATTTTAGGTCTGAAATCATAGAATCAAGCAAATGTAAATGCTAAATAAGGAAAACTTCAATTCAGAAAAAACGTGACAACTTTACTTCGTTAGAAAGGAAATATCACAAAGCATAAGCAAACATTGATATGATAATTCTTTAGAAATTGAAATCTAAAGTACCACATAAATCCTAATTGATCCCCGATTAAAAAGCTAAGTAATCCAAAGATCTACTTTGATAAACTAAAGTCATTTTTTCCGCCTGCCTATCGTGTCTAGAAAATACACACAGCGACCTCGGGGGTCTTCCCCGCCAGATTTTCTGAAGATTTGACTTATGATCATTACAGTGTGAATATGACTATATAAAATGACATATTATCTCAATGGCAACATTTTGACAAGACCGAAAGTTGTAGTGTTAAACACGAGAAGAAATATCAATATAACAAGGCAAGGGAACGTTCACAGAACGCAGCCTCTACACATCCTAGTTACACTAGTCTATAATTCCCTCCAGTGTATGTTAGGTTTCTTCATTTAAGAACATTATGTTTCTTTAATCACATTATCAAATAAAAGAAGAACTTATCTTATACCCTTGTGCCGTTATACCTGTTTGAAGCACTTACCCGCCCTTTCTGAATAAGTCCGTCTTAAAAACATCGGTAAATTTCTTGGCTTGTTCCTTCAAACTTTTGACAAGACTATCTTCAAAAGATGTTTGATCATATAGAGAAGGATCATCAGGTCTGTATTCAGGGTCTTCCTCTCCTAGCAGTTTACCTAGTTCATCTAAATCAGGTGTGTCTCTTACAATTTTCTCTCGTTTTGCCACGGGTTCTTCCTCTCCGTCTGTCTCTCCAGATTCAAAGATTTGACCAATATACCTTAGGAAATAATATGAACAAATTAAACTGTGCAGAAGTATATACTTAATTTTCTATTTTGCTTCATGTACTGTAATTGATCTAATAAAGTCATATTTAAACAATTGGGTATAGTATAAATTTAGATCATAACTTACGCTGACAAAATATTAAATTTTATTGATCCGCAATATAATTTCTTCTAAGCAAAATAAAGACTGTCCATTAATTTACCTAAACTCGTGGTCATTACATTCTTGTATCCATTTTGGAATTGGGACCAATCGATCTAGAAATGGTCCGGGATCAGTATAGTCATAATCCGCGTCTGGAATAGTTTTACCCTGTCCATACCGTACAGACACGTGAATGAAATTTGGTTCACATTTTGGTGCTTTCGACGCTCGTCCTATTTTATCTCCGGCTTTCACTTGTTTCCCGTCCCACTTTACGCTGGGATCGATGTTTTCTATAACGATTTCAAGGACTATAAACTCCGGATCTATTGGTTGAACAATAACTCGCTTTTTACGTGAATCAACATGTAAGATTCCGTTCACTGGCATCACAATCTATTAAAATATTGATTCAATAGTTAATTTTACACCTGTGTATATATTTAAAACAAAGAAAGTTTGCTTATAACATTAAAGCTTTAAGTGTCACAATATATACATGTAATAAAATCGCATTTTGCAGGAGCTTCTTTACCACACCACAAATAAAAAAGTAACAATAGCCGGATTATACTTAAATGTGGATAAGAAACACATATCAAAAATAAATGAAAATATCATGAGAAATGTATTTTGTTGTAAGTAAAATGTGCATGACAACGACGAGAATTTTAAAAAGTATGCAAAATATCATTAATTTAACACTTTTCGAGTTGTTTTACATTATTTTACATTATACAAATTGTGATGTCATGATGTGCTGATGTCTTGAAGGGGGTTACATAACGTTTCACGGCAAATAAGCAGTCAAAATGAATTTAAAATAGAAAGAAATAAAAAAAGAAGATGAAAATGTTTCAGGTTCGGTTTGATTGAGCTAAAATAGTTGGAAATTAATTAAAAAAAATGTTTGTTTTGCATAAAAGATCGAGTTTAATTTCTATCTGCTTACACAGTTATTATACTTTATGTAGTACGAGAGAAAATATTCCACGCTTTGGTTTTTTATTCATTATGTTATCTTATGCATACTTAGATTCTATCGTTTACACATTATCAAATTCCTGAAGTTCTAAATGAATAACTAAACCCTGGGCTTGCCTACGAGGTGTGTTCAAATATAAATTTAAATAAGCACGTGAAATTTGATTCTTCATAAGTTTCACTGAATTATTTATTTTTGTTTCCTCAAAATATTAACCTCCAACAGATATAGAAAGTAACAGTGTACATGTCCAATCTTTGAAATACATTTGTTTTGTCTCTTTAGGTATACTATGAAAACTCCGGGATATTGCAGAACCGAAGAGGTTGCGCTAGACAAACTTGTAACCTGAAATATATCTTTTAGCTTTGGTAACAAAACGAAATTACGAGGCCAGGTCAGTTGAATACGAAGGAAGGGGGCAGACGACTTGTTTCTGCTTCAGAAAAGCTTGCGCTATAGTCGTCTTGTTCAACGGCATGCAGCAATTTGACATTGGCCAAGCGTATTGCGAGTCTTCGTTTTCGAAAGTATTTGAGTTTTATTTGTAAGTTTTTGCATTAACAGATTAGTCGTTAGAACAGCAACCTGAACGACAGGACCCTGAGTTGTAAAGATAATGGATAACATTACCTTCTTTATACTGATTCTCTTAATTGCAAAATATTGTCATTTGCCAGACCTTGTAGCCAAAACCTTGTTTTGGTGTGTTCAATTTTGGCTCATAAAAGTAAGCCTATGTTCCGTTACCAATGACGACATTTTCAAAAGACCGTGCGTTGTTATTTAAAGATTATTCAAGCAACATTGCGCTTTGCATTTTTTATGCTCATCTTTGAGCAAATACAAAATCCATCTGACAGAGATCTTTCTCATTTTAAAATTAAGTTTAAGAATGGTTGCTCACAATGAGATGTCACCGATACTAGACAGACGTTGCTTTTTATGCCAACGGGCATGGGGTTAGTTGAAATTTAAATCTATTAAACCACTAACAAATAATTGATCAAAAAGACAGTTCTTTTTGTCCATACATAGAACAGATTTCATCAAAAATGTCTATACACAATATGTGAAGAAGGCATATGAACATATTTCAATGGCATACTCTGAAATTCTACCATCCAGGTTGAAGAACAGTATACGAGTAGACAATGTAGCGAGCTATAAACACAGCTGAATATGTTAGAAATGTAACACTTACTTGTTTATCTAATCGATTACATTCATGTCCTCATGTATTTACAATATTGAACAATAAAATGTTCATATTTGAACACCCCTTATATTCATAAGCTTTTGCCAAGTTAAAATATATCTTTAGTCATAATAGAGATTGAACATGACACATTCCGCATAAAGCTAACCAATCAGTATTTACCGACTGTCCCTTTCCTAACGCTAAATCTACACCAGTTGTTCGGTATGTTTGCTGTGTCGTTGTTGGCCAAACCCCTTCTTTACAGGATCCTTTTGCCTTGCGCCTTTCTGTCGGAAAATTTCTGTGGAATTTGGGACCAAAAACCTTCTGTACTAGTGATTTGCTTGTTTCAATGCTGTGTAAAATTGAGTGAGTTGAGTTTGAGATTTTTTTTCCTTTTGACAGATAACATTTTGAATTCGACTTTAAACAGAAGGTCGGTGGTTAGTAAATAATATTTCTACTTTAATTACTGATTGACTGCGGCAAAAACATTAAAACATAGCATTCCCACATTTCAACTGTTTGTCAGACTATTGACGGATAGCTTGATAGTAGGAAAATCGGACGAGGGAAAACTTATATCCTTCCCTCTCTCTGTAGCAGTTTTATTATCAGAAATATACTAAAATAATCAAATAAAAATTTACATATAACATGCACATGCACTTATTTCAACTACAGTTTTCAATTCCTTTCAGATTTGAGTTTTGAAATGATCAATAAAATTATTTATATTCCTTACACTTCCTTAACTTTCTTGTATCCCCATTTCACTGCTTTTATTAAATCCATTATTGCTTTGAATTCATCAATAAATGGTTTCACAATATTATTTAAAGGTTTTAAAGGCGCAAGAACGTGTTCCAGTTTGGCTTTCAAATCAATTTCCGAGTTGTGAAGTGAGTGTTTCTGTAAAACATTTTTGAAACAGAATAACAAATTAATGTAATACAGGCGGCTTTGTTATCAGTATAATAATACAGCAATAAAATTATTGTACACCTGTCATATGTAATAGAGTTATAAAAACCGAAGCAATGTACAAAAGTCTTTTGCTTGATATTGTAAAATTAAACATATTTGTAAACCCCACCCCCCCCCCCCCCCCCAAAAAAAAAATAATCTAGGCAAAATCATTATTATCGCCAATTCAAATAAGCTAGTTCTAGTTAAAATATCTCCTTTTACTCCTGATTAAAACAGTACTTTAAGAAAAGAAAAGTATCTAGCATCCAAAATCTGATCAAATTTAATTAACAACACATGTCAAATTGCTCATTTTTATGCCTTTCTTCAAACGGTCATGAAAGGCAATGTAAAGGTGATTGTGTGAAGGTAATTCAGGTCTGAGAGACACATTCAATTTATCTAAAAAGTTTGTGTTTTAAACACATTCCTAAACATTTGCTTGATTTCTAAGTTTCCTTCATTAAATACCACCACCCCCCATTCTTTTTCTATTTTTTATTATTTTTCTATATTTTATTCCTCATTATTACTTCATTTGCCTTTATTTTCTATTTCATTTGTTACTCCTTTCTTCATGAGTAAGATAACTAAAGCAATTTTTTTTACAAAATAGTAGGTATACAGTAAATTTTAAATATTAGTATTACAGCCAGTTCTTATGAAATTTGATACAAAATTATTGCTCTCAGCACGCATAAAATGGTATCATATTCACCGGATATCTTATCAATCCTTTATAAATGCATGTAACTCTTTTATTATACTGCTAACAATTGATGAAAAATACACAGAAAATATAAAGAAAATGAACACAGTATATTAACATTATTCCAGCAAACGAGAATGTTTTTACAAGTTTATGCTGAACTTTTTAGTTTTTCTCTGAAAAACATGAACAATAACCGAAAAAAAAACCTTAATGACTTGACAGATATTTGGACAGTTAAGCTAATATTCGAATGTCTTCAGAAGGTGTCAGTAAGTATAATCATTGTTCATAAATTTTAATTCCAGTATTATTATACATTTTAATTCACGAATAGCTAAGATAGCATGTCGTCTATTAATAAACTCAGAACTATTGACTTTATGATCTAACCGGATACACGCATGCGCAAACAATGTCATGCATGTGGTCAGAACTTTCTCGAGCTATTGAGAAAACAATTGTTTTCATTTCAAGGTAACTGTGACCTTTATCATTACGCATAAGTGCCCTACACAATATCATATTACTCAGTTATTATTGAGTATCCCGACTTTAGAAAGCATGGAGCCGAATCGTTCTGTAAGCACTTTAACAGAAACCTGTTTTACATTAAAGGACATTGTAAGATTGACCTTTCACGCATCGGTACCAAAAACAATAGATATCTTCTTAATGATGTGATCGTCGAATGAGAGATGAATGCTATAGGTTAAATGGAGCTTTAGTTATTGAGCGGAAAGCGTTTTCGCATTTATCTTCGAAAATCAGTGTGCAAATATCATTAGACTTATTGGCAATTGGAGTGAACATCCTAATATGTTTGAAGGCTATTGATCAAATGATAAAATTGCCATTGATCGGACACAGTTTTTACAATCCATGTCACTGTAACCTAGACTATCACTCATCAGCGCCCAAATATAGTGGTATTCTACTCTATGAGGTTTCAATCGCCATGGTTGGGTGGAAATGGTTTTCACGTTTATGCTCACTGAAACATTGAAGCAAATGCATCGGCATCCAAACACAATAATTTCTTCTAATCAAAAGGGGTAATCGTCTATGACGTTCGAAAAGTTATTGTGCGGAAAGAATTTCCCAATTCAAGGTCGCTGTAACCTAAACATTCATGCATCGGCATAAAAAATAGGATATCTGTCTATGAAGTTTGACGGTCATGGGCCAAATGTTTCTAAGATTTTTGAGCGGAATTGATTTTCACTTTCATGTTAACTAGGAAATTGCACAAAGCGATAAAGGTGTTTAACCCAATAAGTGTGACCATCTTATGACGTTTAAATATTTGGGGAACAGTTGTTAAGTTCCGAGGAGAAAACGGATCATTTTACCTTGAGCATCAGCGCCCAGAACAATAGTGATATTGTTTTAATCAGAGAGATCTTGTATATAGTTGTTTTCCGACCAACATTAAGAAAACAATACACCTTCTTTCAATTCAAAAAAGGGCATACTAGATAAGGTATTATATTATACCGATATGCTTTAGATTGTAATCATCTTTGAAATTCATATTTTCTATTGTAATGTCACTTAAGTATTGCATGCATCTATTTTTTAACATTTTAACAACAGAAGTGTTTTTTAACTGCTCTTTAAAATGTAAAAGTATTATTCATGACTTTAACAAAAAAATGTTATCAAAATATTATAGAACAAAATCGAATTTCAGAATAATGAACCCATGTTACCATGTCGCCAATGCCATCACTATAGGCCGAGGTCATTTTGGACTGCAAGTAACGTCGCTTTCGACCAGCAGAGGTTCTAAGAAGTTTAGTTATGGCTTCATCAAACCGCATTATTATATTTGGTATCTGCTTTGCTGCGTTTAACCATTCAGCTGCACGGCCTAAAATTTTGGTAAGTTAATGAATTAAAAAAATAATGCAAACTGAAAACATTTTATTTAAAGGTAAATTCTCATTTTACAAAAATATTTACGTGAAAAAATGCATTAATTTCTTAACTGTCGTTTGTTTTAAGGAACATGACTTAAGAAGTTAAGGTCAGTCTCTTTTGTAAAGACGATGACTTTTACTGTGCTAAGGCGGTACCAAATTGATTTCTTATTTGTTGGATGCAGCGCACCTGTTTCGAAAAACAGGGTTAAAAAATACTTTTACAGTCCGCATCTATCTAGGCAGAAATAAAATTAAGACTTCTTATGTCTGTAAGATTATCTATTGAGGCCACCGTTTATCCCTGCGCGACTAAATGAGTTTGAATTACTTGAGACTTTGCATCTTTTAGCTACAGCAGATGTGCTGTTTCGAATTGTGTCGATTTAAGTTGGTAACACCTGTGGTTAGCCAAAATCATTTTCCTGTTTCGATGCCATATGACCTAAATTTTGTTGGTGCGTCGTAAAAACCAAATAAACTTGTGTTATAAAGTCCGTTAAACAATGTATATAGACTGTGATTTGAAGCATGACTTTAGTGACTTTGTCGAAATTGCAGTCAATGAAGACCTGTAATATTTTGAAAGTGATAATATAGCTTCACACGCTTATTTCATTGATAATATAATTCAAGTGCTTCTTAAGACTGGCAGGGAGCAACCGTTGGTTCTTAATTTTTGAAATTGCAGCAGATAAAAACTAACGTGTTTGACCTCATTTGACCCTGCTGGAACGCCACTAGCCTTTCAATACAATTTATTCAATTGGCAGTGTTTAATAAGAACATTTTTATCAGTTACGTCGGTCAATATAAAGATAGCAACGATAAGTCTTGTTAAAAGTGCATGTTATTTACATCATGTACCTCTGAATTTCCTCAAATAATGTGAAGAGAGGGGAGAAACTTGGACTTCATGTGCCTGTGTGCATTAGTTGACAATTGTTTGAATAACTATGATATGATTATGATTAGTACAATGTTACTTCAAAGTGACTAAAATATATTTGGGATTGTCTATATTGTCTCAATGGGATTGGCAAAACAACCACCGCAACAAAATTGGTAATTGTATGAAGAAACGATGAACTTGTTTTCTCCCAGCCACAATTTTGCCAATGGCACGTCGTAAGACGGGACTAATACATTGAATTTTAAGTTTTTTGACAATGTGGCACCGCAAAAATAGATACTCAATGCTTTCAAAATCTTAACTACAAAAAAGAACATAAAGGATTTTCTTTGATTTTCTTTGATTTTATATAAAGATGATTGGTCCCAATAATTCTATGTAAAATTCGTGTTTTGAACCATTGTAAATTGTCACATTTTGTAATTCTTAAAGGCTTTTAAAAAAATAAACTTAAATTGTTTATTAATGTGATAAGATATACTTTTAATCAGAAAATGTAATTTTATTCTATTCATTTACCTGTAGGGTACTTTTAAGTGGGGTTGCTTCTGTTTATGCTTTGATAACAAACAAAGAAATATAGGTCTTTTTTCTAAATTTGATTTATTTATTCAATTGATATTTGAAAATTCCCCGAAAGAGTTTTCCCTCACCAGATAAAGGCTCTGTGTATTATCATTTGAATTAAAATGATTGTTGTACATTTTAGAAATGCTTTAAAATATCCTAATTTTCATAAGTATGCAAATATTTCCCATTTCAAAGGGATGTGGTTCCAAAAATAAATGAAAATATGAAAATAAAACACTATTTTTCAAACTAATTACACAGTTTTATTCAAATGGTAAGATAGGCACATGTCTATGTCATTTTACATTATTTCAAAGTTTGTACTTCTTAAAACTATAACTGGTTCAAATTCTAGTTACAAAAGAAAAAATATGATCATACTAAAATGGGGAAAGGGGCATAGAGGGTAGGCCCGCTGGGGATTGGGCTATTCTTTTATAATGTACACTCTATTAAAGAACCTCTATAACCATAAAAAGGCCTGCTTGTGTTCATTGTATGCAATGACACATGTCCAATAACGTGTAAATGTTTACATGTTCTATCAAATATAAATTATTTCTTACCTGGCAAGAACATACATGCGTCAATCACTGTATTTTTTATATCCAAAGCCATTGATACCGCCATTGCTATGCTGAAAATTAATATACATTATATGATTAGCCCTAAATTAAAAAGAAAAACACAAAAAAAACCTAATATTAAAAAAGTTATCAATGTACTTATCGTTGCGGTGTAACTTTTTTGAACTTAGATTTGAAATATGCCATAAAGAACAAAATGCAACACTTTTAATAGTCTTTCTATATGGTCATTAAGTATGAGTCTGATTCTTTTTTTAGATAGGGAAATCAAATTTAGCCAATTAATATGATGCTTCACCCAGTGAATATGATTTATGCACGCGCAGTGAACCTTATTCTATTTTTGATTGAGAAAATCCAATTTAGCAAGTGAATATGATACAACACCCAGTGAATATAACTTTATTTATTCTGTCGACTACTGTTTGAACCAATGAGATTGCAGCATTGTTTAAATCATATAAAAAACAATTATTGACTTATAAGCTATTGAATATGATGTGATATTGAAGGGCAATATATCATATTGACCGAGGCACTAGTCAATAATTTTATAGTAAAAACCATAACCTATACATAATTTAATTATCAAGTGCTTTTTATTTAAATCATTTTTTAATTTCTAAACAAGGTTCAATAGATTATGTTTTTGGTTTAGAGGCTCGGAGTTTTATACTATTATTCCATTATTTCAATATAGATACATCCCGATTATTACAATATATACCTCCTCCCTTTGCAAAAAGTAACAGCAATTTTTAAAGTCAATATTTAATATAATAAAATTGACAAATTATGAAAAAAAAATCAGTAAAAACAGCTGATTTAGGTGAATTGTCGTCAATGTTTTTTGTCAGTTTTCATGCAGATAATATAATTTTGAGAGAATTTTTCGTCTTAAACAAAACGACCCTAAAATGGCAACCAGCAGACGGAGGAAATTATTGCTATATGAAAAGCATTTGTATTGAAACATTAATTTATAATGTTTCAAAGAAGTATAGAATAAGAATTTTACCTAAATACGGATCTTAATATTGTGTGAAACAGCATTCACTTTAACTAAAAAATGAACTTTAGAATATAACTTAATCTTACTTTGATATCGCCCTTGACATCGATGTTATTGCTTGCATAGGATTGTTCATAATTTGGCTTAAACTCTTCACAATAAGGTTAAATGCATCGACAATTTTCTTTGATATATATGGCAGTCCAAGAGTAACAGCGTCGACTATATCCTAAAATAATTAAATGAATTATGGATGATTTCCGATACAACAGGTCATTTTAACATCTCCACATTACTGTGTATGAATTTACTGAAGATATCATTTACTTCTTTGATTTTTTTCTTCTTATTTTCCTAAAATAAACATTTTAATTAATATCAAAGCAATAATTTACAAAATTAATGTTTTAAGTTCTTTATCTTATAGGTTAACGAGTTTGAAGATATTTCTTGATATATCCCGAAAAGATACATTTGATTATTGTGCGTATTGTGAACACATGAATACAAGTATTTACATGATTACTTACATTGTAAAACTTCAAGACATTTTGCTTAATACCATCAATGAAATTTCTAACAGTTTGTAAAATATTTTTTATTTCCTCAACAACAGTTGATCCAGCCATGTTAAATATTTCTACAGCAAAAACTTTGAGTCTCTGATCTACATCTCCAAGTATAGTTGGAAGATTCTTTACGACTCGGACAATCTTGTTTACATTTTCACTAAGGCTTCGACCTAGATAAGATAACAAAGTAAAATTATTTTCCGGATTTATTTTATCAGTAGATCATTATAAATTTGACTATTTTTGTCACTATTCGTTAATAGCAATGAAGGTTCCATCCGAGTACAGAATTGGACATGGTACATAGTAGCCTAGACTGAACCTTTCAAGACTCTCAATATTTATTCAGTCAAGTTTAAAAAGTATGCATTGTTTTTTGTTGCATGTATAATTTAAAAAGTCATTAAGTTTTGTGATTTTATAAATATAAATTGCGCGTTTATTCTCCAAACAAATCTCTGACACCATTTTAAGAATGGGATACTACGCAGCACAGAATTTGCCGAGTGATATCCTCGTTGTTATGTCAGCAAACACTTAATGTAAGGGCAAATTCTCAATCAGTCCAACACCGTCCGATTTGTTTGTCATATTAATATTATAACACTTCTCGGTGGCCTGTTATTATAACAGTCAACCGACGATGCAGTGTTTATTTTAAAACAGTAAAACATATATAGTGGCCTGTTTCAAACTATATGGCTATTTTTATCATTTACAAATGTTTATTTCTTTGTTTCTGTTTTGTCATCTATTTCATTTGTTATAATTATTACATAATGTACGTACATAAACATTATTATCAATAGCGTAATCAAATAATGACTTTGATGACTGCTCGGATCAAGTAATGTTTAATCATAAATTTGTCTAGAAATGCCAGAACTTGTATTAGAAGAATACCTTTAAAGGACATGATGATTTTTCGGAAATTTGTGACTGCATCGGTTATGGGAGTTACAATTTTCGCGAGGATTTTGTCAAAAATGTGCACCAAGTCCGACAAGCTGTTTATACCAAAGTCCTGAAATTTATTATTAAGCTTATCAGTTAGTGGTCTAATGCTGATCATTACATAAATGTATACAAACAATGCACGCACGCATGCACGCGCGGACACATACACACACGCGCGCGCGCGCACGCACGCGCGCGCACACACATACATACATACATACATACTATACATCAATTTTTAAAAGCCATAAAAATAGAAAATTTCCTAAAGAACATACAAAACCGCAAAACAGACAACTGGCCAAAGTTTGATGTATTGCTTAAATACATATGGTCAATCATATATTTGGGATAATGTGCACTTAAAAACTACAGAAAAGAAAAGTTTACCTTTAATACATTGAGATCATACGCAATACGACCTTTAAAGCAAACATAAGCTTTGACGATGTCTACTTGAAAGTCAATCATTCCAACATGAGCTTCGGCATAAGCACCGTCATAGAGGTCTATTATGAAATGGCCGCTTAGAAGTGCTAAAATACCAAATACTGAGATCGTTATTTTTCTCAAAATATAAACTTCAATTCAGGAATAAAAAGCTACCTTAAGAACTATAAACATATATCATGTCACTTAATTACACTCATGTTTTCAGCAGGAAAATTGAATTAAATTAGATAGTTTTCAAGTAAGACCTAGATTTCACCTAGATTTGACAAACCCTGGAATAATTGACTGATCAATAACATACTTTTCTTGTCAACGCAAAAGGCTAATATGGACATTGTTATGTCGTTGTTTAAATGTATGAAGTCATATCAAGATAACATTCATTGAATCGTACCCAATTTCAGATCAAGTATATTTCGTATATGAAGACCAAAACTGGCTCCAATAGCACTATTTCCGATCGTCTTGTCCCATTCAATACCAGGAGGTTTGATAAAAACTCGAATGCCTTGTTCCAAAGTCTGCAACAAACTTCGACGTACACGGGAAACAATAGGATAGCTGTAATTCTTGCTGCAAAAGGTGGGTCATTAGTCATCACACGTGTTATAATACCAAAGTTGAATGCTAGAATAAATTAAGTACTTGTCAAAAGTTGACTTGACATGTGTTTCACCAAAGGAAATGCATTAACACTAACACAAATCGAATATTACTATCTCACATAAATTTCTATTGAGGTGACTAATACACAGAACAAAAATGAAACGGTTTATTTTATACAGAACTGAATTACTAAACAAAACTAATTTTTCACACGTTCAGCTGAAAGCTTAAGATCTTTTTGTAACATTTTTCTCAGATTTTAATAAACAATATCTCTGTTACCTTAACACAACATTTTCATGTTCGATAGTAAAGTTATTACTCCGTGGATGTTTCTTTAGAACATCTGTTGCCGTCTTCCGTACAATATCATCGTCGTCATGTACAGCACTCGTTAAAAGTGCATGTGCACTCTGAAATTTAAGAGCATGAAAGGTAGCTCTACTACAAATTATAAGGAAATTTCAGTTTGTTTAGTAAGAGATGCTCAAACGTTTTAGCAACATAATGACTGGTTATTGAATTGTATATTGCTGTCTGTATCGCCCATAAAACGCTACGATATGACTAAAAGGAGCTGTGTTTTTACGTTGGCAGGCCGGAGCTTTGCAGTAGACCTTTATCGTTTGATGTCTTTTACCAGCTAGTGTTTTATTCAAGATATCATATGTTAAGATTTCGTAACTTAATCTAGTGATATTGACTTACTTCGTTACATGAGAAATGTCTAAGACTATGTATAGCAGCTCGGCGCCACGCGGTAACACCAACATTAGGCTCCATGTATGACTTGATGTGCTTGATTGATCTAGATTTGCCTGCGTTTCCAAGACTTTGAATGAGGACCATCTTTGTTTCAATATGTTTTCTAGCCGCCATATCATGCTGAGTAATAGATCGTCTTTTTCTTGGTTTTACAATATCCATTGATCTCGCTGTAAATGTTAACAATTTAATACAAATTATACATGTACGTACGTTAAAAGAAAAGGTTAAACACGTACTTTTGGGTTATTTCATGAGCCGTTGTTATGTGTAATACAGCTTTCACGCTATATTCATTTGGTTTGTACAAACTGACCTACCCCTTTTCATATGGATCAAAACAATTATTAATGTAATTACATAACCTTCATAACATATCATTTCCCCATGTTACGATCGTTTATGTGGTAGTCAAATTTGTTGTAAATTCTAATTGTTATTTGTGTAAATAAATCAATGTGATAAAATAAGAAGCTAAGTTTACCCGCCTATGATAAGAAACCAATCATTAAAGGTTTTGCCGGATTTAAGGCTCCAACCGACCAATTAGAAGCAACTTTGCTTGAAATAAACATTCGGTTTTATTTAGATATTCTGACAACCTTCTCTTTGTCAAAAGAACAATGATAAAATGAAAAGGCGTTTTGATTCCCATCCGAATGAACATTCAGAATGAGCATTTAGAAAGGGATACAAATGCCTTAAACATTGGAAATAGCACCTGCGTTCCGTCAGAAAGGGATATAATTTATGTGAAACCTGTTATCAGAAAACTTTCCATAAATCTTTGCCTTGTCACACAAACTGTATGAAATATTCGATGCATATCTCATTCTATGTTAAAGGTTATTGTGATGATATCACATGCAATTGCTGTCAAACTGCTGTTTTTCAGTCGGGTAATAGAATTTTTGTTAAATGGCTTTATTATTGAATTTGTGCGCCGTGGTTTATGTGATAAATAAGTTGTACAAATTATTTACTTTCATTGTGATGATCAAGCCAGTTTTCGATTTTCTCAACAATTCTGTCAGACTCTGTCATGTTCTTGTCATGTAGTGATTTAGCCATGGCCCCAAGTGATAAGCATGCTCTCTTCCTGGTCTTTGTTAACGTAGGTGTCTCTGAAAAACAAAACGAACATAAACTGATAAAGGTAGATCATGCATTTAGATAGACATTTTATGTACAAAGAAAGGCCTCTTTTCTGTGTCTTCTAAACTGACTTGTTTATTCTGTATTTATTAGAGCAGATGTACAATTTGTTAAATATAGTTGGCATCTCTTGTCGCCTATTTTAAATCACGTCCGATTGTATCGATAATTAATAAGATGAATTTACTGACCTGAAGTTTCTAGCACATATGTTAAAAAAATATCCAAAATAATAAATCCAAAACATTTTGTTTATTAAAAGTATCATATTTACGACCTCCAGGTTTTGCATCGTCGCCGAAGCAGAGGGCCTCTACGTGCAGGACAATTTCCTGAAAAAAATAGAGTTATAAATTTTAATATTTCTTTCATAAAATCATGCATGGAATTCTCACATGGATCAAACTTTTGTTTAGAAACTGTGTTCGTTTGTTTTTTTTTTTTTCAGAAATGTTGAAATATGTTGGTAAAATAAGACCTATGAATATCATAAAACAATAAAGTTAGAACAATATTTTAAATCAGTAAGGCATTTAAACTGATATGCTATGTAAGGATAGTTTGTACATGAATAAGAATAGTTCTTAACTTACAAGTGCCGGTGATGGTATGGCTATTGCATGAAATAAGCATCTTCTTAAGTCGTCTTCAGTGATATTTGGCCTACTCATAACCAAATCAAGAACCAATAACTGTGCCTCAACGCTTCCTTCACGTGCTATAATGTCTATGAAAAGATTTCTTTCATCTTTACATAATATGTCGATTTCTTCACAGGTACTTGTAAGTGCTTTTTTACCAAAGTCTAGGAAGTCTTCTTTCTTCAGGGAATATATCAATTCTCGTAAATTGTGCACACATTCAGTTCTGTTTCTGTCATCTAAAAGAATTATTTATGCATATGCTAAGACAAATAGTTTTGAAATGACTTTGTTTTAAATGTTCTCATTATAATTTATTTTATTCACTTAAATGTAAAGGTTTGAACAGGCTTCATTTTTGTAATTTTGCCGTTTTGGACGTTCTTTAGGGATTCTGTTTCTATATACTTTAAACTTTTCTTGTTTGACCTTTTTTCTTAAAAGATATATACATGATCTTTGTCACTAGGAGTTAATATTTTTTTTAATTTAACACAAAGAAAGATTTGAGATATTTTATCACAGACGCATCCTCTTTTTGTTTTAGTAAAAACAATGATTTAATGCGCACCTACTTAAAGGCTTAAAATGTCCCAGAAATGCTTAATGTTTTATTTTTCAAAAGAGTTTTATATGTGGTGTCCTGATAAAGTTTTATAAAAGTTACTCATAAGACAATAACTTGTAACATACTTTACTTCTGTTGTTTTTTTAACAAAAGCACAGTTATAGTGATTAAGTATTTTGTATAGAAGACAAAATAAATTATTTGTTTCCATTAGCTTCTTTCATGACGAATAATAGACAATAAACGGAAACAAATATTCTTTTTGATGCATAATGTGGTTTTAACTGTTTGATGGCAAAAAAGTAGCATAACGATTTGTTTTATGCACAACCAAATCAATAATAATCGTGTCTCTAATGATCTTACATTTATTTTCTATAGAGTGAACACATGCCAGATTACTTTGTATCTCATTCTCCACCTCCTGCAACGACACTTTCTCTGGAGGCATCTGTCAAATAAAAGTGGCTTTTTAACTGTTATATTGTAAAGAGTTATTCAGACAAATTAAAAAAATATATATATAGGTATATCATTTATAACAAAACATTTAGAGTTAAGTCGTAAGGATTAGCCTTACTTGTATTTGTTTAAATTGTGTCTTTAAATCTTAACTTGTTACAAAAATCGGAATTCTCATTTGTCGCTTTTTCTCTGCATGTTATATTCTGTGCTAGTTCTCTACATATGCCCTGTGTTACTATTACCCTTTCCTTGATATTGAATGACAATAACATACAGAAAGAGGTAGTAACAAATTAGCGGATTTGCAAGACATCGTGATGTCTCTATATTGTCGTACATGTACAAAGGTTTAAAGACAATTGTTCACCAACCTGTCGTACTGTCAGTGTATCTCTCTGCATGTCACGTAGACTGTGGCTTGTCATTTCGTAATGTTTCCTTTAATTAGAGATAAAAGAGTTTAAGTTTATAGTACATTACTTACCGATTGCAGTAAACCTTAAGCAAAAGGTGTTTCTATAAAATCTGCCCCCAAGTCTTTACAAGGTGTATTTCAATAATTTTACCTGTGTTCACGTGAACAAAATTGAAAAATACAAATTGATATATGAGCCCTGCCATGACAAAACCAACATAGTGTGTTTACGAACAGCATGGATCCAGACACGCATCCGCGTAGTCTGTTGAGGATCCATGACGTTCGCTATCAGTTTAATTACTTGTAAAAGGGTTTGTAAGCATGGGTCATGACGAGACTACACAGATGCGCAGACTTGTCTGGATCCATTCCCTCGTAAATTTTTTTTCAAAATCCAGAGAGAGTGGTGGAATATACAGAGAATTGTTTTATATTGTCGTTTTTTTGTTTAACTGACGTATAAATCTTGAGAAGAAATCTCAATGAGAATTGACTAACATAATATTTATTAAACACATGCTAATTAGGAAAAGATTTCAGCATTACTAAAATGATATTGAATAATTATGATAAGATTATACACCTTTTTATTGTCATTTTCAGCTTACTTCTTGATATAGAGCTGATTTTTGGAAATTCTGAAAATAAAGAAAAGTTGTAATGTTGATATGCTTTCATCTTACCTTTTAGTTAGCTAAATCGAACAATGAATATGAATTTATGATACTACTAGAAAAAGATATGATTGATTGCAATTATAGCACAATCAACATAATTATTAATCATGTACAACGAGTATGTAATGAATAAAGAAAAGTACTTTTCATTGAATGCTTTTTTTTTTATTGATAACTTCACGTGCCTGTTTTTTTTGTTTTTTTTTGTTTTTTTTTCATTTACAACAATTATATTGGCCATTTCTTTGGGTGAATAAATAACATGACTCGCGCCAAGAACATGTGATTGACATTTTTATAACCTGGTTTAATTATGGAAATACTTATTTAAGTTTATTATGAAAATGTTTACCTCCCGACTGTTCCTCTTTTATCTGTTCGAAACCATCCATTGTTTTACTGTAACGAAATTATGAATGCGTAAATTTTAGTCACTTATACCATAAAGCAATAAATTAGAACATAATCTTTAAATGGGAAGTGTTTGTCTCAAGGTAAGGTATTACTTTGATGATTTTTTATGTTGATGTTTGTATATAATGCCTTTATATTATTTGTACTTTGTTGTATCACAAGCAATAAATTTGAAGTGGCGACGTGGTCGACGAACCTGTAATCTTATGAATGCTAGCCTCATGGATTCAAACCCCGCAATAGAACTAAAATAAATACTGTATAAACCAATATATTTGATGCTATATATTATAGTTACAGTCGGGTCTTTTATTGTAAAAATGTTGTGTGGATTATCTTCAATGATCAATAATATCTTAGTATTGAATATAAATACAAAATATACATATATAAAAACTGAAAGAATGTAATAATGTTGAAATATTCCTGTGCTTATTTGCCTCCATTTACAGTGTTGGCTAAATTTTCCAAATCGATAGTCAAACATACGTACAAGATATTACAGGAATTGTCTTTCTTCAATTGTTATATAAATTTTACCACGCACAGGCTAATAAAAATACTATTTCATAGGATACTACTCGTTTACTAGTGTTGCTGTTTTTAGAAAATTTCCACTAGTCATGTTAATGATACCAAATTTATTATGACAAGGAAAGTTGAGAAAACAAGAACTATCTACGTGTAATCGATAATCAGAGTAGATTCTGTAAATGACCTTTACATTTAGAATTTTGTCAGAGGCGATTCTGGAAAAAAGTAGGTGATTAATGGTTATGATGACGTCTTTAAAGTCCAAATAAAAGCATTAATACGTGCCTATTCGACAAAATCGTCAAATAATTTTGACCTCAAGAGGATGCGCTAGGTTAAATGGCAGACAATTTGTAGACACGTTAATCAGTTTAATTTAGTTTTGCAAATTTTCAAAATCATGGCAATAATATTAAAAGAAACACCTGATTGGCCGAAACGAAATTATGTTTGTAAATAATAAAATAATGATTATTGAAAATTAAAAAATTATTTTGACTGTCATTTATTTAACTATAAACTGTTGCAGGTGGTGCGATAGCTCAGTTGGTTAGACCACTGACTGTCACTCCTGAGGTTCCGGGTTCGATCTTGGGTAAAACCCTTGGGATTTTTCAGAAACACTTTCAGTGTTTTCCACCTTTCTAGAGGTTTACTGGTACGAAACAAAGGTAATCCTCGCATGTTTCAGTGGTATACACTGGGCATGTAAAAGAACCAAGGAATCTATTCAATAACAGCTAGGGACTGGTTCCCGGATTCCCTTGTATCTCATAGCTGTCTCGGTAAGGACCCTACTGGAAATAAGTGCTTCCACTTTCGTAGGTTATCCTTGACCGCCCGGTCTAAAGAAAATCAATCAATCAACTCAACGTTATTTTAAAATATAGATTTAACAATTCAGTACAAGTACGCCGGATATTGAAGGCATCATTCTTGTTTTACAGACACTTTATAAAATTTTGACTTATTTCTTTTAAGTTAGAAAAATATATGATAAGACTAAACACAAGTTTGTTAAATAATCACCTTGACATCTTAGATGGCGTGTGGCGTAATGTAATGTTATCTATGGAATCTACGTGAACTGGTGTACCTCTCAGATCAAGATGAACAGTCTGAAATCAGATAAGAAGACGTCAGACAAATACAACGTTAGCCGTCTAAAAAGGTTTTTTCCATGGACTCACTTCATTTGAACCTTATTACTAGATCTATGTTAATAACGCAACATGGATAAACTACCCATATC